ATTACTGTTGATCCCAATGCCATATTTATCGAATGGGTTGCTTGTGAGACCATGTCGATTATACTTTTACTTGTAACTTTTTATACATGGATAGCGTTGTCCGTTTATTACACGAAGAAAAGCAAATGTCACCGAATGAAATTGAATGAAATCCGCCAGCAAGTAGATACGTCAGTTTTGACAATGAACACATTTTGCATGGCTACAGTATTTTTTACTTTTTTGCGTTGCTTTTTTCAAGTTGATTCGATATGGGGACGATACAGTTATTTAAGTTGCTCTACTTTGAAGAAACCAAAAATCATTGTCGCCTTAATGGCGGTTGTTTCTGTATGCTTTACACTTTGGTTTCGACAAAGAATATTTTACAAGAATCCAAATTTTCTTCATTTAACTAATAAAGCGACACGATTCGCAAGCACCGCCATTTTGCCTATTTTACTGGGGCTATATCTTTCTGTGACAGTATACTATATAACAAAAGATTTAAATTACAGACCATTACCACCGTATGGCTGTTCAACATCTTCGAATATGCTGCCTTTGACTATAATAGCATGCACAACTTTTGTTATGCAAGCCGTTCTGTTATTTTTATTTGTTTCCCCACTGTTAAAGCATAAAACACTTTTGAAGAATGTTTTAAACGTTTCTGTAGGTAATCATACAATACCATTAGTACGACGAGCGGCAGTTTCCACTCTTGTACAAATTCTATTTAATATTGTGGGTATTACAGTTACCTATTTGATGAATGAATATGTTGATGATTTGTCTATGTTTATCTCTGATATAAATCTAGTTTGCCTGATGCTCTGCGTTATAATATCTTTTGTTGACTGGCCAATTAGATTGTTTCCTTTTCGAAATAGAAATGCACCAAATCTCCAAATCATGTCATAAGATTTTTTATTAATAAATGAAAACTTCTTTTTGAAGAGTAACAAAGAGTATATATAATGATATACTTTCGATTAAATCAAGAGAATGTTTTACCACAGAAATTGCGGAACTTTGTTAAATGATTGATTCAAAAATTATATTTTTTATTATGGACAGATAGACTGTGAATCATAGATATTTATTCAATGTTTGTATCGATTAGAACCTTCGGTTGCATCTTTTTCGCAAGTCTCATAATCTTTGGAGATATTGTGTAGCTTTAAGCTTTACACACGAAGCACTTATATTATGACTGTAGCGATTTTGGTATTTGATTCCACGAAATTTATGTGATAAAACATGGTTTCAACTGCATATGAATAACCGAAAAACGTACAAGATGACGATGTAAATTTTTTCGGTAGAGTTTGGAAAAAAATTCACCTGCGACAGAATCATATTTTTCGATCGGCATTCAACTGCATTGAAGTCACAACCACCCAGCTTCAATTTTATCTTTGATTTTTGTAGTCGTTAGTTTTAGTTTTTATTTGTTTTGCAAACGGCATTATATGCGGGGAAGGAATAAGATGAAAATGAGCATTTAGCTCTCGTATATACCCTCAAATATATTCTGCTGATCCTTCAATTCATGCACCTTCGAAAGGAGACTGCTGTAACACGACAAGGTGTAAACAATGAATAGATCAATTGTATTGATATCTCATAAAAGTCAAAACAGCAATGTCGCCAGTAGCTACATACCGCTATACCTTGACTGCAATAATAGTTCACTTATTAATATATATGTTGAACTTATATTCTTCATGAATTCGTGACTTGTTGGGTCACCAAAAACAATGATGGGTCAGTTTGTGACAAGCGGGTCAGTTGCTCTCCATTCCTGCTTTCGTAGATATTTTTCATGGCTATATTTGTATGAATATGTCGATGATCAAACACTCTTTATTTTGGTCAGATGTGCTCCAGTTTTATTATGATGATAATTACAGCATTGAAATCAACGTAAAAAATGGCATATGGTAATTGATCTAGGCAGTAAGTGTCATGACAGTGAAAAACACGAAAAAAAAACTCCCCGTTAAATAATACTAGTGCTGTTGCTGTTGTCAACGTCATGTCTTTCATTCCACTGTATGGTTTTAATGATGTTACATTGATTTATTTTTAATTGATTGAGTAACATCTCAGTATATATATCACATACAATTTTGTCAAATTTAGGTTGTTATCATTTTCAATAAGTCGATTTTCGTCATAAAATAATATTCATATCTTTATTTATTCTGTTATTTCTGATTCACGAGACCACTTTTGTTTTTAATACCTTTATTTGAGTGTTACGTTTGTCTTATATATATACTATAGTTTGAATCATTTGAAACCAATATTTATGTGCATGCAGTTGCTATAGTTGTAAAATGCTTGTCTGAAGAAGTCTGACCTCGGTCAGACGAAACGTTACAGAAATATATTTGTGTTCGTGTGCAGCAAGACTCTTGAATTGAACAAAACAAGATTTTAGACTCATATTTCGGCGACTGTCCTTTCTACCTTATTATAAAATCACTGAACTCATATGCATGAGTAATAAAATATAATAACTCATTTTCATGTGAATGCGCACAGCATAAACTCGCGAGGCTTCGCCTCAAAGAGAAGTGAGGAACAAATAAAACCGGTTATAAACGTTGATATACATCGATATCAAAAAATGTGCATAGTAAATACTGGATAAAGCGGGGCCACCTCAAAGTCATGCATTGGTAAATTGAGTAATTAAATGTTGTTATTAGGAGGACAATTCTACGTATTGTTATCTAATGCTCCATCCAACCTGTTCAATACGAAGTGGTGTTTTGCATACAAGCTCGTTGTTGTTGTGTGATGAAAACGCATTTCACTGGCATACTACTGACACAAAGTCGTTATTTTTTTAACACTGGGCCTGGATTTATGTTTTTCGGTTGATACAGTGGCATATCATGGTACACCCAATAATCATAGTATTTTTATTTATTACAAAATGACATTTGTGCATAGAATCTGTAAAACAATTGTTGCGTTTGTTCAATATTTTAACGGCTGATGTAAAATATTATTCTGTACTACGTCGGTTGCAAGTTAGTCATTGTCATAATATGCCCACATACATCAATGTAATGAATTATTACCGATTCCAGTTTTGTCTGTTCAAAAACTGGAACGTTGTTGCTCTCTTAGTTTCTTCCATTTTACATATTTAATTACTACATGTACTTGTATAAACACCATTTAGGATACAAACACGTTACACACTCAATCGAAAAGAAATCCTTATCCGTTGGTCTTATCACTATTCTATTGATAATTCGAGTACTTTGTGACAAGAGCGTAGCCAACCAAAAATGGGGGGGGGTCAATTTTTTTATTTTTATTTTTGTATTATGACGTGATACGATTATTTTTTTGTATTGGGACGTGATATGACGATATCGTAAAAAATCGCTCTTCAGATGTACTTCTATTTTCATTTATCTTGTTTGGTTCATTTGGTACAAGGATTATAGATAGCAAGCCGGGAAACGTCCTGCTTTCAGTAAATTGTTCAAGAATACAGCAAAATGGTGTTGGAAAAGGCGGATGAATTTATGTCTCACTGCAAATGCCACAAATCGAAAAAAAAGAGAATATATATTTTGCATGCCTTTCCCTAGCTACGCGTATGCGTATTCTGTAAATACTTTAGTATTTTGCAATTAGATAGGCGATAGTTAAACTTGTAATGATTCCTTCGTTTAATAATATTTACTATCTAAATCGTAAGTACAAAAAGATGGTTTTACATGTAACTGTGACTAGCATCTACTCCAGATTTTGCATGTGCATTCATCATATGTCGTACCAGAAGCCTATTGATTTTGGATGAATTATGTCGTATAATTAGCGAGTTATTAATTAGTTAGTGATGTAGTGATGAGACACAAGGTGTCACTATGTAGTAGGAGCGCTGTTTTGGGGGATCCCCCTAACTTTCGATCGATAAGTCTTCGGTCTCTGACCGATATTCTCGTTTTATTATTGAAGATATTTCAACAAACTATACCAATTCAAAACAAAACTATTTAAAACAACATTAAACAAAAATTGAATATTTTACTGTCAAAATACGAGGGGGTGTACCAGGGCAGGGCTACTCAACTGGCGGACCGCGGTCCGAATCTGGACCTTTCGAGTATTGGATTTGGACCGCACCTAATTATTTATTTTGGATCATTAGCCCCACTTTTTGAATTTCCTATTATAAAATGACTTTCATAGTTTTGAATATATACGAAAAGAATTATGACACCATAATAAACAATTTTAATTTGCTACTAATCATTAGTCGGTCGAGGAAGTGCTCGTTTAAGGATGCCGAAATATCATTTCTGGAAAGACCGCCCCAAATAATTTTGAAGTTTTGTTTTCGGACCTTCGATAAAAATAGTTGAGTAGCCCTGTACTAGGGTATTGTGTACTGGACTGCAAGTCCTTTCTCCTTTTTTTTACTTCCTATTGCGGATCCGTATGTGGCTGTTGCCACAAGGATGCTTGAACAAGATAGTATTATAAAGATAAATAGGAATAACATAATATCTTTCCACGAAATAGTAAGTTCATTTATGAGCTTTGGTTAGATCTTAGTCTAACTTCTTCAGATAAAACAAGATATGGCTGCAAATGATGAAATACAATAGCCAGTTAGAAATAATATACTAAGAAATACGAGAATATTAGAGATGGATGGGTTGAGTCTGTCTCTATTGTGCTGTCTAGAAGACTGATATTGAGTCGTTCCTGGTTTGACCATTTGTTCCCGCGTTTGTTTTTTGAACTTTTTTTTTATTTTGTTGTTTGTGTTGGTTTTAGAATCTTTCTAGATATACATATCTTGTTTTATCTGAAGAAGTTAGACTATGATCTAACGAAAGCTCATAAATAAACTTACTATTTCGTGGAAAGAGATTAGAAAATAAATGTACTTTACAAAATTTCACAATTCTTCACAATTTTCAACTTCATTTGAATGAATGCAACGCAACATGCATATTGCAATGCAAAATGTTACTTGCAACTTTTTTATGAACACATCAAATGGTTCTTTTAATAATTTTTTTATCATATCAACTCAACAACACACACAGTAAGCAATTTTATCAAAAAAAGGCACACGGAGAAAATTTCAAAATATAATGCACACTTTCAAACAGTACTTAAAAAACAAACACTTTATCTTTCTATTCCTTATTCTCGAATGTAGGGTTATCTGATGTGATTGTTGAAATGGGTCTTTTCGGACTTGGTTTTTCTAAATAGCAAAACAAAATTAATAATCACGAGTACTAAACTTTTATATGTTGTATAATTTGTCTTACGATAAAAACAAAAAAAATCATAATACACGTAAACTCAAAATAGCAACTACATTATTTTATTGTTGGACACGAAATGTATCGATAGGCGATTTTGCTAAGTAGTAGTTGTTGTTGTTAGTGTTGTTAGTGTTCGTACTGCTGTTGTTATAAAAACGATTTTGTCCGCAAATACTGGACCAATTTTTTTTAAACTTTCAGTACTTCAAGATGAAATAAGTCGCTAAAAGGCTATTACTTTTACTGTTTGTGTTTTATTGTGAAACCTACGTGGATCGATATTTTTCCAGCAATTTTGCTGTTTCATTTGAATTCAAGGGAACTTTGTTTTTAATCTAACGTTCGTGGATCTATGACGTATATCCAAACATTGCTCTCTTGTTCATATTATAATAAAAAACACAGAAACATTTGGTTTGCATACTAGAATTAAAGTTTGGTTTTCGGCAAACGTAGTATAAGAGCCGACGGTAACACTGTGCTGTTTTTTCACGAGATTGCCGATAGACTACGCCCACTAGCGCTTAGTTCCATATTAAATAAAAATAACTATCACAGACGTATTAAAATTTGAATTCAAATTTGGTAATTACATTTAAAAACAGGAGTGCCCAAAATTTGATTCTAAAGAAAATAAAATAAAATCAGCAATACAAAAACAAATGCAGAAAGTTGTACAGATAATACATCGCTATGAAATAGTCGAAGTGCTTCGCCTGACCGGTACTAAAGTTATAACATTTGTTAATGCATAAAATTGCAATTTTTTTTTTCAAATGGACTCATTTCATTCAAAACTATCTACCTTCTGTTTGTTCTTGTTCCCTGTGAAGCTTCTTAAACTTCCCTTTGCGTAAATAATATATCATGTGATATGATAAGGCATACAAAGCACATGCGATAGTCTGCAAAGTAAATATCAGAGTGATACCATCAAATTCATATAAATGAAGAAAGTAAATAAATACAAAATTGAGTGTTAACAGTAATATACAATATTTTTAAGTCTCCTTCTAGTAAAGGATATCAAATTTTACAGAAAACTAATGCTCAACTATCTGGATAAGAAGGTCGATCATCGGTACCAGTAAACAAATTTTAGCTAAGGATCAAATTCCCGGGAATAATTGCAGGACAAGCGTGACGAAAGCAAATGAATTAGAATAAAATAGCAAATTTCAGATTAAATACAGGGTCCAATAAGACTCAAATAATATTTGAGAAAAGTAAAAGTAATAGAATTTTAGCATCTTTAAGGGTACTCCTGTAGTATGCGAACCAAGATGGCGGACACCGGAACGTAGTATGTATACCAGGTTAGGGTTAGGCCATAATTTTATTCCAATTGTCTTTATTTGATTTCTATTACCAGTTCGGGGACTAGCCAAATGACTCCCGTAGTATGTGTACCTAAAATTATGGTCTAACCCTAACCTGGTACACATACTACGTTCCGGTGTCCGCCATCTTAGTTCACATACCCATTCAGACAATCTAAATCGATTGACTAATTGATAGTCGTAATAGAGAAGAAACAATCCCTAAGTTTACTTCGTGATTCTAGTAATCTTAGCCGGTCCGACTGCTGCAAAATCTCAAATAAAAACGCTATTCGGTCACACTAGGGCAGGGGTTCTCAACCTGGGGTTCGCGAACCCCCAGGGGTTCACGAGAAGATTTCCAGGGGTACTTGGATGGAAGTCGAGTTTTTGTGTGTGTTTTTTTTTCAATATTCTATAACAAAGGAAAGCTAAGTAACTACAAGATGAAAATGAAAGCCAAATAAAACTCAGTGTAGATTTCCCCCCCTGATCTAGCTCTGTTGTGATTGTGACGCAACAACGTGAATTGCACAGCTTTTCAGCCAAACTGTGAAATCTCAAAAGACAGTGTGATGCGAGCATAGCAGAAAGTGATTTGCATCAAAACTTGAGAGAGATCCCAAGAATTCATTAGTTAGGTGGAGGACAATAACATCAACACGAATATTCAATTTAGTTACAGCAGGTGGTCAATAAATTGTCGTTGCAACAAATTGTCAGTCAATATATCACAACTTTGTTTGGTGTCTGATTACTGGGGTTTGCGTTGATTGTTTCGTGACTCGGGGGGTACTTAACAGAAAAAAGGTTAAGAACCCCTGCACTAGGGGAATCATATTCTGGGGCGTATAAGGAGCAAGTGCAAATATCCCGTCCAGAGAAGAAAATGTTACCTGTGATAATCCATACATTGCTGGGAAGAGAAGAACTCTAGACATCACATCAAGCGGCCATCCAGCAAGATTGACTATTGAGATTGCTATTTGAACATTTTGTATCCCTATTTCAACGCAGATCGTCCTTCGTTTTCGATGTGATAACCATAAAGATTTGGACATAGAAGATATCATAGTTGACAACACTGTACAAAAATATTTAATAATACATAAAATTACATCGCCAAAAAATTTCTATACTGTGAAAGTAAAAAAAAATTGTATCACCTCACAAAAATGAAATTAATCATTAAAGTTGACTAATTGAAGTTTGAATTTTCACAAACTACTATTGGAGGTTTAGTAAGAAAATATTCTTCATTTCATATTAATTAATATGGATCTTTGATGAATAGAAGACGAACAACACCGGCAATCACTTACTTTATGCTTTGTACTGTGCTAACGCCATTGAATGTCATAGATGGGCATTAAACAAGTTATATAAATTTAGATATATAATATAAATTCATAATTTTATAAATGTATGCAAAGGATTAAATATTCAAATAATTATGTACAAGATGGTTATGATTTGATTAACTGAAATTTAGATTTTTGCTATATGATATAGTGTTTTTGTTTTCTATTGCAGTGTTTTGTGCAATGTAATAATACTATCTTGAATATTTTTCTACCAGATTCCTATGCTTCAAACTTTTATAGATTTAGTAGGCCATACTAGCTTATTGATCGTTATACAAACATACCATATCCCAGAATCATTCCACATAATGGAAAACACATTGCAGTGACAAATGGTCCAACTCGGAACACCCACATATCCAGAAACATATATAAAGAAATAGACGAAACAAGCATCAGAGCCAGTAATCCCACTATTGCCAAAACCTAAGTATAAAGATAAATAAATACACACAAAGAGGGCAAAAATATTTAACTCGCTTCTTTTGCTTTTTCAGAGTTGCTTTAACATTTTGCAGTTTGAAAAAACTTTGGTATGGTTGTTTCACGTAACTCATATCAATTTTATAATATACACAAGAATGTACCTTTGCCAGCTTTATCGCCTTATCCTTCCTCTTGTATCTAATAAATGTACCAATCGCTAGTGGAATTAAAACGAGAGCGATAGAGATTCCTGGAGAGAAAAATAAGTAATGATCCTTTTGAACAATAACAAACAACACATACGCCTCAATTGCTACTTTAAAATAAAAACTATTGATACAGATTCAATGCTTTTATTAATTTTCTATCTTCATGCCTTATATTTGTTTTGTTATTGTTTCAGCCACATATAAACAGTGCATTTTCAAGCAAAAATATAACAGCAAATCAGCTATTTTTTGTTTCATTGCGTTCTTCTAAAGAAGAAGATAACAGGTCAAGGAAGTACATTATAACGTGAGTTGAAATATATATTATATGTATACCTATTCATAAAACAAAAATATAGATGAAATGTGTTTTCTCACCTAGACCATCAAATGGTACTCGTGTTGAACTATTTGATAAAACGCACGAATAAATATAAAGCAGTAATGGTAACATTCCTAACGACACAATAATCGAAACGGTTGTCATGGCTGCACTAAAAATAAACATAACAATTGTTATTATTGTTATTTACGCAGGATGGTATGATCTGTGTTTGACACGTTGTATAATTTAATCAAAAAATATCACCTGAGTTCCATGTCTCCATCGATCCAAAAAGCAACGATATTAGAAAAAGTTCCTCCGGGGCACGAACCAACTATTAGTACTGATAACGTTTCTGGGTCCTCCATGCTAAATATTGATGCCCACATGTATCCAAGAAATGGCATGATAACTAAAAAATGATGCGGATAAAATGCATAAGTACTTGTAATTTTTAGCTTTCTATGGTTACTAGGTTAATCATGGCCCTATACGGCTTTCAGATTATTTTTGTGTCATACCTTAGTGTCATGAATTTCGCTTTTTTTTTCAATTGAAACTTCGTTGGCTTAAATACAGACTTAGAAAACCTTACTTTTTTCTACATTCTAAAGAATTTAGTGCACAATGTACCTATTGTATAATTACACAAGTATTAAATATGAAAATAAAACACTGAATGGTGTTTACTAAATAAATTAAGAACAATTAAGAATTGTACTTACTAAATTGGCATACAAGGCCTGTTATTATTCCAGTCGGATTCTTAAAATGTTTTACGAGGCGTTGAATTTCAATAGTGCATCCTATGCCGATCATAATAGTTGCTAATAAAAGTGCTGTAGCGATTGACACTATAAACTTTAGCTTTCCGTTGTCTTCCTCATCGTCCGTGCAAGGCTTCCAGGTTGAATTTTGGGGCAGTGTATCATTAGAATCGATGGTAACACACGCTATCGTTGTAGATTCCGTAGAGTTCATTTTATGCATTCGATATCGTTTAAATATGTTTTCTATACACTTTGCAGCTAAGGATAAAATAATAAATATTGGACAAAAAGTAACTTAGTTGCGCGTTCTTTTTATATTTTGTCAAAATATGTCAGCCATGTTTGATAATAACATAAAAAGCAGTAATTTTTAGTATGTTTTCACTCTAAGACACAGATGAATTTCGCATGATTTCAAAGATTTTCAACTGAATTAATCTACCTATAATCTACTTGCTAACCCCTTTTCCCACTCGTATAACTAATTTAGTACTTGATATTTTTGTCGTTTAAAAAGTATATATACTATTTATACAGATTTCCCAAGACCTATTCAAGGGAGTTTTGCCGAGTTGCCCTCAGGCTAAATCTATCATACATCCAAGAAGTATTGTTTTTGAAAAAACACACAAGAAAAACGAGCCGTCGTGAGTGTGAATTTTCTCTTTTTTAACTTATTGCATATATACTAATCAAATGATTTTTATTAATTTCATTCAACAGCGTTATTTATGATATACATTTGTAGTAAAGTTTAAAATTTCTTCAGTAATGCAAAAACGAATATGACAATTTGCATTGGCATGTGGATCTAATTCGTAATTTCAACTGAAAAACAGCCACCTTTTATTCTTCAAAATTGTCCTATTTCGTTACAGAAAAGTGTTTTCGAAATCGCCTTTTTCGAACCGTAATATAATCTTTGTGATATGACTATACACACACTATAAATGTGATAAATTAATATAAAAATATTTTTGTATTTTATATATTATTTTCGTTTCTCAGCAATTTGTAGACGTTGATGGAGCCTGATTCAAGTACAACAAAAACAACTCTTGGATTATAATAGACTATTCTAAGAATAAAATTAATAAAAAAACAGCGGATTGTCAATAAAAAACAACTTCCGAATATAACATAGAAACCGTCATTATGTTTTGAACATATAGGTATATCTCAAATTTCGCTCATTAAGATTTTCGTTTCCGAGCCTGTTCACTGGCTAATTTAATAAACACATTGACAACATAAACACCCCCCGGCTCTATGGTTCAAGTACATATAACACTTAATGATATGCAAGCCTGGCAATTAATGTAAAAGCTTATATTTGTATTGGATTTCGAAATTGTCAATTTATTACCAATCATTCGACAATTAGGTGAGAGGGTAAATCCTTCTCAAATCTTCAATATAACAACATGAATTTATGATTAGTGAATATCTGATCATATTCATTACCGTTCGGGCTTTATTTAGATTGGAGGAGTAATCATTTAAAATATGGGTTGGAGAATAGCGTTACCTCAAATCATCCAATCGATTACTTCAATTTATTATTAGATTTTACGGAAAAATATTGATTAACATTCTCTGTTTAGGTGGATTTAGATTTATTTAATTCGGTCTGCTTTACATTCGCATGAATATTCCACTAAATATTGAGAAAACCATCACAATTATAAAACGTTCTATTGTCTGTGATACCATCTTGAACTATCAAATTTTTATTGAAATATAATAAAAGAATTAAATTAGGATATCGTTTTCATTCAACTGAATCATTAAATGGAAATGAATACAGTACTATAAATATTGGGAGCTTATGCTAATTGGTACTAACAAGGACATATTGACGCAATTGAAACAACACAAATATTTTTAGTTATCCACTGTTATTCAAAAGCAATATTCCCATTTAAATTTAACGAAACAAGGGTTTTAAGCGATCCAAAAATTCAAAACCATAAATTTGAAGAGAGGCGAGGCCTAGGTACGAAAAGTCATTTGTAAGTTTCGAGACATTTCACAAAGTCCTCTCTGACCTCGGTCGTTCTGTACAATTGAACGCTGTCTAGTACAATTTAGAGAACGTAATTGCGAAACAGATTTATTTTAGCCATGACAATCTCATTTCTAATATTAACCAAATTATCGCTTCAAAGAGAACCAAAAATAACTGGCAAAAACGAACAGCCTCTTTCTGTAATCGAGTTGAGATGTCCGTTAATTAAGACACACCTACGTTTTTTGCTCTACAAAAAAAAACTTGCATAATACATGAAACTACGAAATTTTGAATGCTATGTAATGAGAATTTTTCTCAAATTACACGAATAAAAAACTGTTTACTATATATATATTTGAAAACAAACTTTCAAATTTAAAATTAGTTTTACAATATGAGCGCCATAGTTCAAAACTCGTTCATGGACTTTTTATAGGTATCACAGCTAATAACAGAACCTAAGTAATACTGTATACGTAGCTATTCTCTTCGCAAAGATTCATTTCTCATACTAAACGTCATAATCCGCATTAAGAAGTAATTGATGCAATAAAGTTTAAAGAACATCTTAGGCTGTAATCACATTCCGTATCATATCATTTACACGGCACCGATGATCACGAATCATATCAGTGGCATTTAATCGATCAATCGTTCGAATGCAAAAAGTGATGAAGAAATGGAATTGACAACATTTTTAGCATTTCTTCGAAAATACCGCAAATAATTTCCTCATGCTAAATTCACAAAATATCAATTAATGGATGTAATAAATTTTATACCTAAAAATGATTAGGCTAATTAAAAAAGTACACTATCAATATTAATGAATGATTTCAAAAGGGGAGTTTAGTATAAAGATGTATTGTTATCGTATCGCGTTTCGATAAAATCTCGTAACGATCTGCGCTTCACTATTTCGCTCATTTACGAAGAAACCTATAAATATAATTTATTACCGAAGTTAGCGTCTTCTATTATTTTTGTTAATATTTAAGGCCAAGCTAACATACTTTTGATATGCAGATAACTGTTTATGACAACACACAAGTTTGCCCAAGGGCTTATAAACCGTATATGTCTGATTTTGTTTCATGAATAATAATTATTGAGACTTCAATGATTTGAAATTAGCACATGAAATAATCTTGGGCAAGGACTTTCATGTTTCGCAATAAGTTTTCCCAGCTTAAAATCTACTAAAAGTATCGAATAAAACTATTAACCTAAATAGAACATTTATATAAGTTTTAAAATCTACAGATATTTATATCCAGCATACTTCACCGCGCGCATCATCAAACGCAGAATGTTCCTACCGGCATTTTAGTGTGAATATACTTTTCCTACTATTACTGCTTGTTGGTTTTTGAAATAATTGCTGGTAAATATGACCAGTTTACTTTATTTTCAGAAGCTCACGCTGACATTTCTCAAAATAAACGACTTCGCGACAATCTGAGGACCAGATTTTTATAATACTATTTTTGTTTTGTCAATGTTGAATGAAATACCACCTTAACCTAAATGGCCGTTTAAACACATTAGGGACCCTGTACACGGGTTAGAGTAAGTAACGGCCCTTCCATTTCGAAATTACTCTTTAACAGAGTTTCAAACACAGTCCATAGAAATCCCGCGATTGCGAATTACATAGCGTTGCTATATACATATATTTAGCTTGTAAGAGCAAATATAGGATCTTTCTTAAAAAGGTATTATTATACAACATTTGCTACATTAATCACATTCAAATATCGTGGCTATCGCGATTATCGTTCGCACAATTGTAAAATAATCAAGTTAAATATATTTTAATACACACAACTACCAGAAATTCCTATATTAACCAGAGCAACAGATTCATGTACCCGTCGGTTAAAATTTATTTTCGTGTATAAAGCCAATGTTAGGTGTTCGAAATGGCTCGGGTTCCAAATAGCGACTGTCATAATGGCGACTTCATATTAGCGACGTAATCAAGTTAGCGACTGTCTTGTACACGCACACGCACTCTTTTTAGACTATATCATCGAAACGGTCTAGCCTGAAAGCTGTTTTAAACAAATATTTTGAAGCGACTTCAACAAAAAACAACACGCTGCCTGACATATATATTTGCATTATCATGTTTTAATCATCCTAGCAATCTAGAAATCCCAACTAGTTTGATTCCGTCGTTTTCAGCAAACTATATCTACGACAGAGATTACTCGGCAAACTGAAATAACACGTACATACTTTAACAATAGCTATCCTAATTTATTTTATCACGGGCATGTTAATAATGTCAAGTGGTCAAATCTGTTTACGTCCGAATCTTTTGTATGCTGATTCGATTTGTAATGCCAATTCAGATTAATCGATAAGTTATGAAGATAAGAAGGAATTGAAATTAAGCGAAACATTGGTGTAAATAAAAAGTTGTTTATGGCTGATTTTAAAATTTGTCTATTGAACAAAATTTAGTCGCACAAGAACTCCAGATTACGCTTTGATTGAATATTTTGAAATGATAATTTTCCCTATACCCAGTGGCGCAGCCACAAGAGGGGTATTCTGGGTTGAAATCGTCAATTGTTTTCGCCAGAGTGACGTGTTGTTAAAGTCGGTATCTATATTCCTATTTTTTTTGACATTTTTAGTCAATCGCAGAAATTCCCGGTGCCTGCTACACGTTATGTTACGAAATATGTGTACCAGGTTAGGGTTAGGCCATAATTTTATTCCAATTTTTCCTATTTTAGTTCTACTACGATTTCGGGGACTAGCCGAGTGACTTCCGTAGTATTTGTATCTGAAATTATTGCCTAACCCTAACCTGGTACACATACTACGTTCCGGTGTCCGCCATCTTGGCTCACATACTTCGGGAGTACCGACAGTTTTAATGTGATTACATTTAAATAGTGTCTGTGTGCTGTATATTATTTTTATAATTTATATAAGCAAAGCAATGACTAATCTTATTAAAACGCTCACTAAAATTAACGGTATGGGGGACCTTTTAATAATACTCAAATTGCCAAGACAAAGAATGACCCAATCCAAAATGTTAGAATTTCTATCTCTGTCTTAATGGAAATTAAATGTCAGGAATCATGGCGTTGAAAACATTATTCCAATCAAAGAAGCCATTTGATGCAACGCGTAAAACCGTGTTATATAGTTAACTTATCAATGGGTGCTTTTGCGTGGTTTGCTAGTATTTCAACAACAGAGGATCGCTATCTGGTATTGTTTATGTGAAATCAAGCAAATTTCTTTCACAGGAAAATATTAAAACTCAAACAATAATAAAAAAATAAAACGACATATTTCTGTCATTTTAAAATATTTGACAATTCACGCATTAGAGTATTTGTAATAAAAAAAAAGCAAGTATATAACTGAATTATGCATCAACACCTCAGCGGTATCAGAGTTCTGTCGAGTACGGAAAAAAGTCTCGTTTCAGCAAAAAGTAATAATAAACGAACTTTTTCATTGTTTATAAATAATTACTAAGTCTTTTACGATAATCGCCGATCCGAAAACCTTCTGGCTAACCAAGCGATAAGATCTGATGAATGACCGGTTTCTGGCAGAGTTCGTGAGTGCTAGTCAGTGATTAAGAGGTAAAAGTTAAAATTGTCATGTAAAAATTGCAAGAATGTTGGCCTAATACAGGGGTGGCCAACCTATGGCGCATGCGCCAAACGTGGCGCATTGCATGATTAGAGGTGGCGCATTGCATCTTTAACCCTTTTTATGCCAAAATTGTTAATTGCACTTGGCTTCTCCACGCCAAGCCGTTTTTTTTTGCGATTTACATGGTGACTTTTGATTGTACCTAAACTCTATTCTCCTTACTCCACGTCGCCCACTTACGGCTTGTTGGAATTAGAAACAACAGGCGATTATCGACGTTAGCTTTTTGACGGACTTTATGACATTCATTCTAGACTTTTAGCAAAAATTAGTAAAATTTACTATTTTTCCCTACCGGAGTAAAAAGTTCAGAACTTCTGGAAAAATAGAAAATTGTCATTTATCAGCTTGAAACATGGAATTTCCATTGCCCAGACTTCCCAAATATCTCCCAATAACCATTGAACAACCAGTTGAATTGGCCAAGCCTAAAAAATTTATTATAAATCAACCCACAACATGCCGAAAATGACCCCTAAATACCACCTTTTTCATCCAAACTCCAAATGACCGTTGTCAACAAAAGCGAAGCGTAAAATCGCTTGCTGTGACACAAGTACTAATCTCGAAGAAGCCTGGAGTAAAATCACGCGACGCTAGGCCAAACAGCTGATTAGCAAAGGCCAATTAGAATCGAGAGTAGAGTAGAGTAGATATTGATACTAAAGGCCTGTTGTCACAATATTTTTAGTTGATGTTACTAACCATCTCAATGATCTAAATTTGAGACTGCAAGGCAAAAGCAAACTATTTCCAAGCTTAGTAAATGACATTAGCGCATTCAAGATGAAGTTGAAACTTTTCGTTTCCCAGTTGGAAAAAGAGGATTTGTCCCAATTTCCTCACATAAAAGAACACAGTGAATGTGCTGCTGGTAATGGCAATTTGGCAATATACACAGAAAAAATCAAGTTATTGCAAGAGTCATTTGAAAGTCGTTTTCATGATATTTCAAAAGAAGAAGATTCTATACTTGCTTTTATAAACCCAATTTCACTTAGTGAACTAACCATAATGAAGATGCCAAGCAATATACAATTGGAACTAATTGACTTGAAAACTCATCCATCATTGAAAATTAAATTTGATGAGCTTTCTTCAGTCCCAAGTGCATCTAACATGATCAAGTTCTGGCAATCGTTACCCCGTGAAAATTTTCCAGAACTGAGAAAATTTGCCTAGGGTTTTATATGTCGTTTCGGAACGACATATAGATGTGAACAAACATTTTCTGCCATGAAACTAATTAAAAGCAAAGCGAGGTCAACACTTACAGATTTAAATTTGAAGGATGCACTGCTGCTCTCAGTAACAAACTTAACTCCAAGAATAAAAAAAACTGGCGAAAGTAAAACAGCAGCAAAAGTCTCATAAAGGCGGTACTTAAATGAAATTGATCAGTTTTATTTATTATGCTTCCTTGCTTAATTTCTATTCATGTGAAGTTGTAAATTGTAAAAACTACATATATTATAAATTATATAATTATATTATAATGTGTATTATAAACTTATATAATTTCAACAAGAAGCGGACATTAGGCGTGGCAATACAAAAGATTTACGGCGCATCTGAAACATTATGTTTAAAACGTGGCGCATGGTATTTGAAAGGTTGGCCACCCCCTGGCCTAATAGAATAATAGTAAAGCTGTTGGACATAGTGAAAAAGTGTAAATATTTGTGAATGACTTTTTATCAGAATTTTTATAATTAATCTGATTTCAATAGTAAATTAGTATATCAGGTCAGCATAACTTTGAATTATACGTTTGCTATATGCTGTATATACAAAAACTGAATTTATTAAAATTTGTTCTATTTTTTCTTCATTAAATTAAATACTTAAAATACTAATTCTCAAAATATTATAGCAAACTTTAGATTTGGTTAGAATCGTAATGAATAAGAAATAGCTTGAGCTTGTTGGATTAATATTTCGATATATTCGCTGAGAACTGTCAAAAACTTTTAATTACGTTTATGTTCATATTTTATAAAACTTCATTGAAAACTAAATCAGGATAAATCAAATTAGAAACTTTAACTGAATTCCTGTGCACTGTCAGTCGAAAATATTCTGATATCATATTTTTAGTTTCATAAGCACAAAACAATAATTATGAGTACAACGGCTGAAAATATGTATATTGCAACAACTAGGACACCTTGCCTTACGATTAATGAGACATCGTTTGAAAACTCAACCGTGAAACCATGTATACCAGGACCAACTGTCGACGATGCGAAGCTGATTGTTCAAACTATTCTAATGTATATGGTCCCCGTTTTGTTGGCGCTTATCATGATCGGTATAGGATGTTCTGTGGAGATCAGTAAACTGAAACAGCATTTCAAAAATCCTACTGGAATTCTAACGGGCCTCGTTTGTCAATTTAGTGAGTGGAATTTAATTTTGTAATATATACTTTTACCCGACTAGGCTACGAGACTACTTCATTTTAATTTACGCAATACCAGTGGTCCCCAACCACCGTGTACCGTGAATGATTAATGGTGTGCCGCGAAAAGATTTTATGTTGAATTTAAATGAAGAGATTCCAATAGACAAATGAAATTTAGCATATCGACTTACATACTCGCATTTTAATTCAAAATTTAGAACTAAGTGTGTGTACGCGCGCAAGACAATCGACACCGAACCAACTCATGCAATGATACTTTCCTGAATTTATTTGCCGGGGGACTTGTATTGCCAACCGCTAAAATACCGCGCCGTGTAATGTTACTAAACAATAACCTGTTGATGTCATTATTTTAGCTATTAGCATGTCATTTTACTACTCATCTATCGAGTACCTAGGCCGCTTTGATTGGGCACGGAACTTGCGCATCACTAAGCCGATCCCTCGATTTCCGCGATAATTGCCCCACGGCTCTTACTAACAAACAAAAACGACTAATTTGAGAAGTCGCATTTTGGTATTGTTTCTATTCTTAGTTTTTCATAAAGCGCACCAACACCGTATCGTAAAATTGAAAAGGTAACAAAATATTGTGCGAAATTTTCCCAAATATTACCATAGAATTATTATTTGAATTGCCATTAAACTCCAAATAACATTCAGGATTCACGTAATGACTTTGTGGGGTTTTTATTTATATTAAATACGAAAATAAAATAGGCACAATAGAAAAGTAATATAATAAGAAGGTTAACTGAGGTTTTCATAAATATCCGCATTCCGGTGTCAGAATGATAATACTGTCAGCTCAAAATTGGAAAAGTTAGTTTACAAACGGTATGGATAAAGATCAAAGCCGGCGAAAAAGATAAACTCCCCTTGACGGTTTTTCACTATTTCTGCGCGTTTTGCACGTTTTGGCAAGGTTTTGAATAGATGTCGCTAACGTATACGTCGTCGATATAAAGCATTAGTTCTCCCAGGAATATAAAGCTAAACTTCGCCGTTCGCTGTTGTGTAATAAACCAATCAACCAATCAACCCAAAAAAAATGAGTACGGGCAAAAATAGTTCACCGGGAACATCAAAATGTCCAGCGTTCTGAATGTCTGTTTAATATATATATATACTGAAAATACCCGATATTCGACAATTCGTTAAAAATATCCCAATTATTCGATTCGATAAAAATATTCTATTTTGCCTACCCTTGCGACCTGTAATCATGCCAGTAATCTGGCGTAACTTGTGGTAACTTGCTATGATCACTGCCATCAAATTATGCTCAGGCCTGGCACGAAATTTATAACGTGAAAAGATACGTCTAGCGGTTTATAACAACTTTAAACCTATTTAGTGTTTCTAGCGATAATAAATAATTGTTGTAATGAAATGCGTTTGAATACACCATCGTACCACGTACTACCCATGCGGCCGCGCATCTTTTACAATAATGTGAGGTGCTCGGAAGGTTCCGAAACTTCTTTCTTCAATATTATTTTATAGCAAAATGGCTTTATGAGTGGAAAATATTCATGTTTTGTGATAGGTATGCCGCGAATATTTGAAGTGTTCAATAGTGTGCCGCAATATAAAAAAGGTTGGGAACCACTTCTTTAGACTGTATGCGATTACAAAACAATGCTGAATTTTAGAAGTTTCAAATTTTATTCCTATTTCATTCATATTGCTCATAAATCGAATTCACTATATCGCAACAGAAATTCCCTAGTCTTCTTGAAAGACGGAAGTGTGATAAGGAGCAAAATTGTGAGACATACCAAAAATTATTGTTCGACACAAAATTCAAACACCCAAGATATTTTAGAAAATATCCCTTTTTTTGTAGTGCATAATTATAATTGATTATTGATATTTTAGAAACTTTCGGGTTAACACCAACTCTTTCTCGCGACGCTTTATATATATTTATATATATTTTTACAATCACTGTACGTCACGGTTAGAGTTGGTATAAGTCCAAATAGCCGAAGATAAATTGACTTGATTTCATGCTATATAAAAAAAAATTGTTAACCTCGATCATTTGGCAAAATTTTTCTTAATAAAGGTTTTGCACAATCCAAAAAAATATCTTTTATAATAAAATATGGTTATGTTTCTAACTATAACGATGTAAAAATAAATGAAATGTCTTAAAATAACTTTCTATGTCTACAAACATTTATTCGTTGCCTTTTAAAAACTTTCAGTCATTATGCCAATTCTTGCCTACATGTGGGCATCGATATTCAGCATGGAGGAACCAGAAACGTTATCATTGTTGATTGTGGGTTCTTGCCCCGGAGGAACATATTCAAATATAGTTTCTTATTGGATTGATGCTGATATGGCATTAAGGTTAGTTAAATATTTATAAACGTAGGAATATATGGACACAAAAGCGCAACTTCACCAGAACGCAACTGAAAGGGACCGGCCACAAGGTGCGCAACTTTTTTTATTTTGATGATGTCATCGAATCCACTAAAGCCTACAGAAATATTTAAAAAATATGAAAGTAATAGCCTTCTAGCGAAAAATGCATTCTTTATGCACTGAAAAATCACTTGGTTCAGTACTTACTGAAAAAAGCGATTTCTTCACAACAAGTAGATGAAAGGAATGACTAACAACAACAACAACAACAACAACAACAACATGATCCATGTGTACACTTTGTGGTCGAATAAAAAAATATTTAATCATTGGTTGTAGGTGTACTTTCTTTTGTGAAATTACAATATGGAATATTCTTCAAATTATATAGATTATACAGATAGCTAATTATGGTAACCCCTGAAAGCTGAAAAGCTATTATTCGATATCATCTTAAAATTATATATATATAAAAGTTACTGAAATTTTTTTATAGTTTCAATAATTTATTTCAACTTATCGTCTTCGTTTTTTAGCACTACGATGACAACGGTATCCATATTTGCATCATTGGGAATGTTGCCTCTTCTACTCTACATTTATTCACTTGCATTCAGCACAGTCTCAACACGAGTTCCTTTTGATGGACTTGGTATGTTAAAATCTACACTGTAATCGTTAAATAAAAAATGACGTCACTCGAGTTGACTTTGATGATTGTGTTGGACTCCCAATATTATCACAGGGATATCACCTAAACTATATGCAAACGATTTTTAAAATTTTAATATATGATGTGGTCGCTAGAAAAGCAGAAGTTAAGGATCAGATGAGAACACGAATAAAATGCGTGCTTACTCACTTCTTTATCGATACGTTTTTATTTCTTCCAGTTCATAGGTTGATACCTTCTAGGTTCTACTAGAACTAGACACTACTCTGAAGTGCACGAACGCCATTTTGAACATCTATGAACATCTACTTTGTAAAAGTTATTCTTTGTTAAACTAAATAGTTGTTTGACAAATTTTCTGTTTTTCTAGCGACTACCTTGTATATATAACCTACTATAGTGCAGGAAGAATTTATCAATATTCATTTATTCATTTAATTATCAGGTATCTCTATTGCGTTATCCATTGGTCCACTGGCAATTGGGATAGCAATGCGATACAAATGGAAAAAATTTGCGATAGTTGCAGCGAAGGTAATGTTTGTCATTTAATACGATGTAAAAACCATTTTCTACCATACCATTTATATACATAAATTTGACATTGTCGTATTTTGCCTAAAAACAATTATAAATTTCAGAAAAAGCAAAAAATACAAATAATAAATGATTGATTGTGCGTGATAAATAATAATTTGAAAGAGAGTCAAGGTATTGAAATAAGTAATTTTAACAGTTTACATCGGATTTCCGTTGTTGCGCTCTCGTAAGATGTCGCTACCGTCTTCTCAGAAAGAGGACATAATTTAAAACTGTTTTCATAGGAGATGCATTATGCAAATTATAATGAACTAAATGTACATTGAAAAAAAAATAAATACACTAATTACCAATTATTATCAAATATGGTTGTTAACAGGTCCTTGCAGTTATTGGATTGGTTGTAATGGTTATAGCACTTGCACTTTTCATCTATGCATTTATCGATATATGGAAGTTTCAACTTGGACTGGTTATAGCCGCAATATTGTATCCAATATGTGGATTTATTTTAGGATACGGTAAAATACTTAACATTCTAAACTAAGATGTATCTGTGTCATGATTCAAGTTCGACAATAGAAACACTGTACGAGAATATTGAACAAAATATTTGTTTATAAAAGAGTGAATATCTGAAAAATTGTATCATCCTAAAAGAGTTTCCTATTCTAACTCCATATCCTATGTTCAGTCCCAGCCAATAGCATAAGAAAATGACGCCTTTTTGATCCAATATTTTCAAAAGTTGCTTCTTATATCAACAGAAGATAAAATCGTTGCTTGATTCAATTTAGAATTATGACGCAACAATCCCTCAGCGTTGTCTATAAGCAGGGTTACCATATCGTGCTTATTTCTAAGATTTGTGCTTATTTTCTATCCCGCGTCTTATAAAGCAAGGTGTGCTTATTTCTAAGAAAAGTGCTTATGTTTGAGCTGCATGCTCATTCTGTCTTAGAAACATGGATGACTCGTTCATGTTTTACGTACAAAGCTTCTGTAGAAATGAGGGATGATGCTTATTAGTATAGGAAACGCGTATTCCTGGCACGATTCGGTGTGTTATCCATCACCAAAGACTGCTGAAGCAAATTGTTTGGTATCGATAAATAAAAATGATTTGGCCTATGTTTTGACTCAGTAAAGTTAATTTTAAAATTATGTGTTTATGTTATTTAATGTTTAATATTTTTGCACATTTGGGGGTAGATGGGATGTATGATTTCTTTCTCATTTTTATTCTGCGTTTCTGCGGTTGTTAAGTACCCCCAAATAACCTTTTGACACCCGTGCTTATTTTTGGCTCTAGGTAGATGGTAACCCTGTCTATAAGTAACAAAAACGCATAAAGATCTCCTAGACTAGAAGTTATACTTGCATAATAAGGAGTCGATGCCGACGCTGTATTTTAAAATTGGAACAAATTTAAAATGGATGCAAGTTATGATTGAGAAGAAAAGTAATATTAGCATTGTTCATATTCACCAGCGTCTTTCTCTCTTTTATTCCGAGACTGAAATGAAGTGGGCATAATCTCGTAATCCTGTACAGTGTACAGCATATCTCACATAGTTTTATATCAGCTAATAATCATAATGTTACGGATAAGTTCTTAAGGTCCCCTATGATGTTTAACGTTATTTTCAACGTGCGGGTTCACCTTTTTATAATTTACAGCTATATCATCTATCGTTTCTACAATTGCTAAGCCTCTATGCTTGTCTCACCGACATCGAAGAACGGTTGCTGTTGAAACAGGAATACAAAATGGACAGATTGCATTGTCAATCGTACAACTTGCTGGATGGTCTTTTCAAATTACTGGAAGAACAATATTATTTCCTATGATGTATTCAATAGCCCAGGTGATACTAGAACTATTTCCCTTCACATATCGCATCTGAATCGGAGTATTTTTACAGCTATGCTTACCCAACTTGGGATGATCCATCTTTACCAGCAATCATTGAATTACACAGATGCAAAAGTATTTAGCATTTGTTTGATTAAAATATATAAATTATTTTAGGTTTCATGTTTTTTCAAAAATACATTTCATATTATTTTAGGTGATCATTAGTTTGCTACTTATTGTAATCTATCACGTCATTCACTGCATACGGTACGGAAAAAGGGTGGAACTGCAAAAAGGAGGAGAAATAATGAAAGGTATTTTAATAAAAATTCATGCCCTAGTGTTCAAAATATATGATTTATTATTGTACTTTCATAATTTAGATAAATCTGATACGACCACAAAAGAAACTGTGTCGAAAGATAATAAAACGTTTGAAATGGAGGAATAAAAGAAGGTCATCAGTAGACTACAATACTCCTGTACAGTCGCATAAAGTTTTCACAATTTCTATGAACATTTACACTTTTGTATTATGACGCAGCATGACGCTTTTTCAACGCAAGAAAATTACGGTTTTTATAAAAAGGAACGTACTATTTCTACATGGAAACAAGTATATTTTGAAAACGCTTAGCAAAACTCTCTTAATGAAGTCATTAAACCTAATTGTTTTGATAGAATTATAACTTATAAAAACAACTAATAAAATAATTTAAATCTTTTTCTTCTGCCTTAATTAACGATTTCTATTCTAAACATATATTGTGACAATCATTACTGCTTTTTTTGCCCTGTCAAAGACAATTGTTACATTACATTTGGCATGAACTAATAGAAATACATATATTAAAATAAAACAATTGATTTCATAATTTATTTTTGTTTACGGGTAAATCCTGCCATTGAGTATAAAGTTAAGGTAAAAAATTAAGTATTCAAAGCGTTTCTGTTTCACTCTGTCTGTTTATCCTCATCATTATTGGCAGGGATTTTGTATCTCATTAGCCTGCTGTGTTTGACCAAGGCAATGCTATGTGTGTATTCAGATATTTGTCATTAGAATGCCATAAATACCTCAGGACTCGAAAATTTTTTCTGTTCATTGTCCATATTTTCCTGTGAGCAGTATGCTTTCACTTCAGGTACCGTTAGGTACTATTTTCTCTCACATGCAGGGCCGTTTAAAAAACATGATTTTATAGACTCAAATTAACGACCGCAGCAATCTGATATAACAATGGATCGGGAACGTAATATAAAAATAATTTCCACCCTTTATCAAATAAACTTCGCCATCCCTGGTATAGGGCTGTAGGTTATAACTGGTGCTATCACCTAATACGAAATATGGAGTGATGTTGTGTGATTTGATGTGCGAAACATCAAAAATACCTAAAAAGCCCAATCCCAAATACACCATCCAACCTTTGTTGCTTTGACTTTCTGGCAGTTATGGACATCAGTGGATCCAGCAATTACACACAATTTAATGTATTTATATGATCATTATTCTGAATATTAGCTAAATAAAAAATAAACATGAAAAATAGACACCTACAAATAACAAAACTCGAGAGCTCAATGATAAAAGTGCGCTCCCCAAAACCTCAGAAGCAGGAGAGCAACACACGTCAAAAATTAATTGGTCGGCATAGAAAGCCAAGTTGATCTACTTAAATTATGTTTGAGATTCATGCATTTGTATGACATAAATATAAAAAAAGGGAATACCTGTGTTATATTCCAATAGTCTGAATTGTATGTGCTATGAATATATATGAAAGCAAATCTAATATATACTGGCAAGTCAAAATGATTTTCAAAGTGTCGCAAGTTTAATACTAGTGGTAAATATAATAGATATTTGATTCTATATACTTATATTGGACTCTCGACTGTACAGGGGGAACTCTAGGGTTATGCGGAATCCCGACTAAAAACCAATGCATTATACCAATGGTTTCCAAACTTTCTGGGCGAGCGGAACTCTAGGAATTCCAATGAGACTTTCCAGTGGCTCGAGGAATTGATATGTTTATTTCACTAGTTTGCTCTGAGGTAGATGAGTAGGCTATATAGCATTTTCATAGTTTGAAAAATTCATCGTTTTAATGAAAAACCATGAAGGTATGTTGGAAATATGCAATGGAAGTATATGAAAATATTAAATCCCCAACAATATCCAAGGTAAATTTCGTTGTGGTATAAATGTGTCAGGCACACTATTTACACTTTTGATTTATTCAAATACATGTTTGCAGCTTATAGATTGTTCAAAAAAGAATGCATCCTGTACAAATGCAATAATCAAAAGTTAATAACACACTGTGGTTATGTGATATTCTAAACTAGGGATGTGCAACATTTTTGTCGGTGGGCTATATAACCAATTTCAGACATCTAGCCTCGCCACACAAAAAAATAGTTTATCCATGAGGAAAGGCAAGAGAAGAGAATGCGGCCATTTGTCAGCCTTGTACTAATAAATAAATGGCATCAGGCTAAACGGGCAAATATATTCAACGCAGCGACAAGAACGAAAAACATTATTTTTTTTAACCACGTTTGAGCGACTTGTTAAAAATAAACTGTCAGATTTTAAATTAATGCTTGATGGGGGGAAATCTGTATTGACAAGGATCACACTAAATGGTTTGGTGGGCTATAAGCCTTTAAATCAGGGATTCCAAACTCAATTTTCCTAGGGGCTGCGAGTTTGAGACCCCTGCTTTAAATCATTGTTCGTTATTTTGTATTTTAATTTTATTACTAATTTTTACAATAATTTTTCAAACAATTTACTATACCTTGCATTTGCGAACTTCAACGTAATCAAAATCGACTATAAAATGGTATTAATTAAATACTCACACAAAAGAGATGTTTTGGTATAATAACCAACGGTCATAAAACAAAAATGCATTGTGTCATGATAGAATTTGAAAGCACCCATCTTTTTAGAAGTGTTAGACAGGTAGATAAGCATTTACAATCGCAGTTATGTAACAATAAAAGAGCACCGAAAAAGTCAATAAAATAAATCCGATTGCTTCCTTTGTTTTCAATTAGCAGATTGATTTTTGTTATCTTTGACTTATACCGATGTATATTGATTTCTTTCTTGACCTGTCAAAATAGAAAATTGTGCTGTAATTATAATCTAATAATCATCTGAAACAAATAACCTATTGCGTATTAAGACGTCGGCATTTATACTAAGCTCGCATAAATTTCTAACTTGTATAAAGAATAAAAATTAACCAAATTCAATTTGATTGATTATCAGAAAATGAAATTTAGTTTAAATTCGTACCGGTAGAACAAGTCTTCATATCGAGATCAATTCTATTCAGGTTTTGACTTCACTTCAAATTGAGCGAATAAATATTTAAAAATCAGTAGAAAGGTTACTAGTAATATTTTGTTTCCAATTTTAAAATTAAAATTGTTAATTCACAGTTTTTTGCTGGCGTGTTCGGTAACTCAGAATTCTAGTGCATGCAACAAAATACATATTTATTCAGATAAGTAATTTTTTATTCTACAATCTACATGAATAGATTGGCAATTTATTGAATTGTCGCACCACCAATCAAAATTACATTACAAGTACACGTGACTCTAAATATAGAGTGTTTATAAAGTTCGTTTACAGTTTCAATTTTGTTATGAAGTCAGTTCTCAATATATCTTAAGCAGGTTTGTTTGTTTTAATCAGTAATTGTTTAAGTATTTTTACTTCATTCAATATACCTGTGAGGGTCAAAACAACTTATGGTATCGATAAATTTCCTTTGCTATTTAAAAAAAATTTACTTTATGGACTTTATGGACATCCTGTGTAATTAACAAACATATTGAAATAATGATATTGATGTGTATGAAAAGTTTATCAAATAAAAGAAATCGCGATGTCATATTATAACAAGTGATTGAAAAATTGATCTAGTTTCAAAAATGTCTAAAATTTTGTTTTAGATGACTTTTAGTTTGATAATTCAGTTTTGGTCGATTACTTGATAAGTAGGGCTGAGCATTTCGAATCGAATGGTAAATTTATTCAAATTGGTTCAAAAAACAATTTTAAATCGCCCTCATCTTGTCTTTTATTTGGTCGCCAACGATCGAGGAAATCTCGTCATTTTTTTATTAATACCGTATTTTTTATAACGCAATTCTCTTCTCTTTCTAGCTAATTTTTCACGAAACTTGTTTTTTATTGTAGGTGAACGCTCAGCAAACTGACTGAGTGATGGATTCTATGTTTTCAGTAATTTATGTATTTGTAGGACCCATCACAATGAAAGGGTTGTATACAGTAATTGAATAGTATTCGTTATTAATTTCGAAAAACCTTTCGGATTTGATTATGAAATCGTGAGGTATTCGAAAATTCTCAACCCTACTTATGAGGCAACAATTTCCTACATTTATGTATGTCTGATAACTTATCTTAGTAGTTACCATATTTAATTTGATTCTCACCTGAATCATATAATAAAGACTGCTCTTTGATTAATGTCTTCTTTTTTATGACGCAAGAACTGATTTTAAGATACAAATACACAAGTAGAAGTAGGACTGCAAATCCTCCTACGGTTGATATCCATCGCAGATTGAAACTTTAATAAAATTTAATAAATAAATAAAATGAAACAATATATATATGCAGCAGCACATCAATGTCTCAAATATAGGTACATTAATAGAATTTAAACATAACGATTTTTGGAAAGTTCATTCTGAAAAATTTGATTCTAATAAATTGTGTGAGATTCGATTTTGACATTCATAACGCTATTTTAAAAATGTCAAGCATCTGAATAAAGGTTGACGTTGAAAGTTTAAGCAAACTCTACATTTTTGTCATTTTGCAATATTCGAAGTTTGTTAATAATGTTATATGAAATATTTTTTGTTTCCTCGATGAAAGATAATATATCTTATATAGCTGATAAATTTCCATTGTTTTATGCATATCCATTTACAAACAGAGACAGCATTCATTTGTGCACTTAATCACTGAGTCTATATAATACTTCCGACTGCAAACAAATACTAGTCAATATCTAGAAACTTACTTTAATACTCCATGATGGTAATTATCGTGAAATTCGGAATGTTCAGTTGTTGTTAAGTTCGCTGTTTCGTTCATTTCCCTTCCTAATGCTTGAATATCCTCAAGAAATGCAGCTCGAGCTCGTCTCGACTTATAGTGTGGATGAAAATAAATCTTAGAACCAGAGACTACTCATAATCCTCTTACATACATATATAAACGAAAGTCGGTGGATTTTGTTATTTGAGTTGATTAGCAAAAATCAATAGGTTAAATTATTAGCCAATTACATTGTGATGGATTGTTCTGTGACATTGACAACTTGACAATAAGATTAATATTAATTGTTGACTGGAAGGGTATGAGGTATGATGAGCATATTCATATACCTCTATAACGATATACAGGGTATTGAGAATGTTCAGTTTCAATTTCAATTTTGTTGATAAGTCAGTCCTCAATATATCGTAATCATTTATGTTTTATCTTAATCACTGTTTATTTAAATTTTCTCCACTTCATTCGATACACCTTTATAGGCTCACCATTAGCTACACGGACCACACCAAAGTTTTTTTTACCTAATTTAATGCACGACTTTATAAACATCCAGTATAAGGTCATGCAAAAAAGTTGACTTTATAATTAACATAATTCACTTTTTTATCCTAGTACTTGATGCAAAAACTTAACATGTTCTCCACGATATTCTTCCACAAAACTCAAATGAAATTTTTACTTGATGTTACACCTCAAATAATCTCAACGTAGGCAAATTAAATAGGTATGAAGGGACAAGTCAATAATACATGGGAATTAAACCGTTTGTCTCATGAGTGATAAAGATGGGGACCAAATGCTAAAATTTAAAATAAATAATTATTGATATCAGGGGCTACATTATATCAGAATATTTTACTTCTAGTTTACTTCAGGTCTTCATGTCAAAAATACAGATAGGTTCAGAAAAGCAACAAAATCGGACTAACAAAGCGAATATAAATGTATATATATCTTCCTTCCACACATTTCGCGATTAAAAGCGAGTATAAAACTTTTTCCAGGGCTTCATTAGAGAAACCTAGAAGCTCCGAGAGCTATTCGTTTAAATAATAAAATACTGACTTTGCTAATTTCGTAACTGTCCAAAGAACTAATAACAGCAGTAATGAATCTGATAACGGTAAATACAGCCGAGTCATTAAATATGGTAATTTTAATTCACTCAAGACAATTAATTGGTAAGTACCAATGCGTTTTTGTTTTTATTTTATTTATTAAATTTTATTAAAATTATTACGGGACTTCGTAAATAATAGTCAATCTTTTCAGAGGCTACATATCCTGAAAAGTTTGAGAACCGCTGGCCTAAGCCTTAATTCAGGGGTCGGCAACCTACGGCGGGATCCGGCCCGCGGAGTAATGTAATCCGGCCCGCGATGATTAATAGTGATGAATTATAGTAACAAAACAGCTGTTTTGAAGATTATATTCTTTACGTAACAGAATTTATTGTAAGACACATGTAGACTAAATTATATTATAACCCAATCCAACACGCAAAAAAGTTGATGCTAAGTGAAAAGGATCCGATGGCGCCGAAAATATTCAAATGGAATTTTTTTAGACGCAATGCAATGAGGAAATAAATCTACATTCTATTCAAGAGATGTATCAATGCTTGATTTCTTATTATATAAAGTATCATTCGTTCGGTTTTCAACTTTCTAAAAATATGTGCGGCCCACCAATGACTTGCAACCTTTTGGTCAGCGAGCGGCAAAAGGTTGCCGACTCCTGCCCTAGGTGTTTCTAAACCGGGATGTTTTGAGGGCTGTTCTGGGGGTTCGACGAGGGTTCTCTGAAATGATTTAAGCTTCTTGATTTCCAAAGCTCCCGTTCCTCTTTATGGTCACACAAGTTTTTTCTACCATGATGTCATCTGCCTCGTACGCTATAGTAGCACAACAAAGGTAATTTTGACACGGTGTACCGATGTATCTAATGTTACACACCACAATGGTTTTGTCCGAAAAACTCTTTGCAATTCCGGGGATTTTTTGTGAAATGTGTTAACCAAGAACGAGACTTGTTCGGATAACTATGTGTAGTTGTTCTCTTATTGTAATTAATGTTGCTATATGCCTATGCTGTACCCAACAAATTCGTTCTCGATTGCATTAAGGCTGTTTATGGTTCGACGAAAGCTTCCAGAGTAACGCAGGTTCAACATGCTCGCAAAGGTTAGGAAACACTGCTCTAGGGCCTCCCGTGGTATAAATCGGCCATGGTGCTATGTGGTTAATTTACCGCAATAGCCATATGTTGTGATTAGACATAGAGCGTGCAATTTGCAATGCACAAAATAGCTCAGAAAAAGATATCTTGATTGTAGCAATGTTTTAGGAGTATATATGATGTTTCAACAAACTGAACGATTATAGATCTAGATAATTCTGGATTTTGTTCGAATATATAAAGCAAAATACTAATAACAGTTTTGCACAGGTATCTCAGCTAATAACACCATGACAGTATACACAAAAAATCACTTCGTTTTATTTATAGCTGTAAACTTATACCCCAATTTTTATTTTATTCAGGACGTTTGTTTATATGTATATACATAGAATTGAAAAAGTAAAACAAGAAATAAATTTTGCAGATACAAATTAAATTTTTGAAACAAAAAAATTGTCTGTTTCATTAAAAATCAAAAACAATAGAAAAATATTTCCGAATGAAATGTGCCAAACTCGCGAACTCATACAGACTACGGAATTGGAGCTTGGATTTTGTTTTTGTGAAAATACTTCGATCAAGTATCATTTCGAGAGTAACTTTTTATGCATTTTTTCTGAAAAAGACTATATTGAGCAAACGCTCAGAGCTCAGAGATACTAAGTTCTGGTTGACAGTTATTTATCATTTTGACATATTATTCTATTTTTTTTTTTATCAAATCCTAAATAGGATTATGTGCAAATGATATAATGATAAAAATACGAAAGATTGGATCATAATGAAAATAAAACACAATCCATTGGTCATGGCATAATGGGAAGTAAAATTCATTAAAAGCACTAGACCCATTATTGGGCACTCCGGAAGTATTCGTACCAAGATGACGCACAACCTGAACAGCCCTAAATTGGTACACATACTATGTTCAGGTTGTGCGCCATCTTGGTACGAATACTTCGGGAGCATGCATTATTGTATGTCCTACAGTATTATAATGTTTACTAAAAAATAAAAATGCTGTTGTTCTTAGGGAATCGAACTGTGAATTTATGCACAATAATCTGATACATTCTTCACAACTTTGGGTCTCCCAAACAATAGGTATATGGTTTTCATATATATTTTCTTTCTGAAGATATTCGCAGCATTTATATACATCAGGAGAATATAATATTATAATATTTCTCACGTATAAAATATCCAGAACTAGAGGAAATTGTTTCAGTACTAAAACTAACAAATATTGCATAGAAATATAAACTGAGAATGAATAATAAAAATTTCATTAAATGCCGTGGAATTGAATATATCAGTCTACTTGAGCTCGGTGATTCAAAGCGGCGATATCGCCCCTGTATACATTTCAGTGCAAGCCGTCTGGCAATGTAGAATCATGAATTATTTCATTTCCAATATCTTATTTGGTATAAAATTAGTTTTACCCGTGACGTAATTACTATAAATTATATACTGTGCCAGACAAAAATATCTCCAAACATTGAAAAACCCGTTAGAGATTCCAAACTCGCTTGTCTCATTAGAAAACACTATAATATATGATTGATCCACTTGCTCAATTTTCTTTATATTAACTTTGTTTATAACTATACATTTTTTGGTATTGTCGGGCCGATGATAATGCATAAATAGAGAGTTAGAGGGGGTGACGGTAGATTAAAAATGTGGGAACCACTGGATCTCTATACACCAATTTCTACAAAACTATTATCTCTTGTCAATTTAATCATAGCTATCTCACAGCAATTAATGATATTTGCAGGCGCCTAAGATTTCATCATATACCTAACATTCGATTGTTGATCGGTAGCTATTAACATAATTGGTGGTTGCTTTAGACTTCCTTTCGGCGTGACTTTGAGCAAAAACGTTACATCATGGGCACATGAATTATTTATTATATAATTAGAGAGGATACAAGACGCTACACAAAAAATTAAATTCACTGGAAATGAGAATAAAAATATTCATTAATATAGTACTTTTGTAAAAGGTTTAAAATATAGACTTTTTCAAGTTTTGCTAACCTGTGTGTGGACGGGAAACTATACTAGACGACCATACATACAATCTATTGTCGATAAATGTTGTCAAAACTTGTGCCATGCTCAGCATGTTTTAATACTATGCAAATAGATTTTGATATAATCAATGAGATATTGTGATGTTCATCCAAATCCACACCGTGACGCTGTAGTCTAGTCGTGTAATCCGGCTTGTGAGTCGCTTCTGCTCTTGGATGTCTGTACAATAGAATAAGAAGTCACTGATGGACCAGGCGTGAATGGGGAAATTACCAGGAGTATGAATTCATATCAGTCGGGATTCTACAGCCGGAATTGCCGGTCATAACAGTGAATGGTGTAACTTTTTTTAGATTTCACTGTCGTGCATGAGTAGCATGCGTGATATCGTAGTTCACTTGGGCGATAGACAACTTCAAATTTGTTCTCAAAACATTACTGATAATAAAGATATTGATATCACAAAACGTAAATTGCATGATTTGCACAAATGTAACCAATCTGAAATGAGGACAGAACAAAAGGAAAATTAACAGTAAATCCTAATATTGTTAAAGCGTGCAAATACAATAGCAAATATACGGTAATCTTTTGTGTTCACAAGGGCAGCATTGTTCTAAATATAGCATGCAAGCATTCAAATATTCCAGTCAATGATTCATGCACACGTCATGTGCATATCACAATGACACACTGGTAACAACTGATTGACATCTGATTTGTCTACTTCCTGTTATTTACACGAATTTTTTTTAAAAAGAGGCAAAGTATCTCTTAGAAACCTATGCTCGAATGAATCAATACAATGATCAAAAAGTCAATTTTCTGTCCTTTTATGCATGAAATTTGAACATTGAAGTTTGTTAAAACAAGAACGGTTCATTTAGGATGTTATATGAATAAAATCTGACAAAGTAGAAAAGAGATTTTATAATGTGTTTATACCGAAATTTAAGTACCGTGACGGTTATTCGAAACACCACAAGAGATTTCCAGTTTTGACTTTACTTATTAATTTACTGTTTTCACCAACACCATATTAAATGAAATTAAGTATAGTAACAAAAATGAATCAAATATTAAGTGTTATATTTCAAACAAACCAAGCACAAATTAAATAATGGCTAAACCTTTGCAGCAGATGGAACAGAAGTATTGCTGGTGCTTACAAAATGTACTGTAGGAAGCGCTGAGACACTTGTAGACCACATCTTTTTCAGTGCTCCTCTCATCTCTTCGTTGAACAGGGCGTAGTGAATGAATAAAAGAAGACCTTGCAATCCGTTGACAACGACATGGATAGACCCAAAAACGACCTCCAGTGGCTCAATGTTGACTAATAATCCTAGTATCCAAGGTATACCTAGTATCGGCATGAGGATAACAACAGCGCGTAGAGCTTTTGCGGCGTGTGATGCTTTATTCTGATCGCGTAGGTTGCTAGGCTTGAATTTTTCAGCGCTTCTACTCATTCTCCATACTAATAATCCCAGTCTGGTGGCGATTAGTAGGTTTATGCCAAGAGCCAAGCAAATTGGAATAAGCACAACATATTTTCCATAATCAGGAGCTATCCAGCAATTTTCGAACGATTTCCTCGATGCGATTTTTGGAATATAACCACCGTCTTTGTTTCCTACTACCCCGCAAACAATAGCATATATTAATGGTAGAATCCAAGCGATACAGAAACCGACTATTCGCCGCTTTTTCTTTGAACTTGAGTCGGTAAATGCATGCGGAACTGCAGAAGAATAAAATTTGATAAAGTTGTAATGCATCCGGTATAAAAACACCAAAGAATCAAAGTATGAATATGCCATTTTGCATGATTTAAACAGCTCTTTAAACAAGCTATTCATGTAATTCTAATTTATGTACGAAGGAAAAACTTACAGAGAACTTTAGTCAACATGAGTGATCCTTCAATGACCATTAAAACAGCGGTTGCTACCAAGAAAAAGTGTGTCCCAACTGCCATAAAGTAACATATCGCCGAAACTTCGACAGCAAGCGGAGAGAGAACAAAAAACAGATGAGTGAGCAACAGTGCCAGACATAAATTGATTTGCACGAGAACGCGGTCAAAATGTCTCATTCTTTTCCTGCAAAAAAGTATTTATATGACTTAAAACACTGTTTATCTTTATACTATAATTATTAGTTCCACTAATATAACTTTATATGTAATTGAACATGAAGTAGACCTACGGATCGTTTTGTTAGTAACTTGTTGTTGAAATTAAAGATTGCTGTTGTCGATAGAACGCTATTACCTTTGTTTATTTCAAAAATTTCTGTGGGCTTTATTCGTTTTCCATTTCGACGTTTTGTGTGGTGACGTCAACAAAATTAAAAAAAAAATTATAGCGGTCCGCGGCGACCGCATGTTAGTGGTTCTCGTGCTTTGCGGAAGTCTGAAATTTTTTGTCTGGTACCCTGGGACTACGGTACCGATACTGTAATTGTAAACGATTTGTTAAAACAGTTGTGTCTAGGATCATTTGGTATTTCAATTCACGTTGAAAATGTAAGCATAAAGCACGATCGTCACAGGACCTGGAAAAGCTAGGACAGTCCGGTACCGTTACCGGTCTTTTTGAAATCTACCAAGAAATGTAAAAATATTTACCATTTATTTCAAAATAAAATCCAGACTACTTGTGAATACAAGTTGAATACATTTTCATACAACCTAGCAATGTGAATTCGAGCTTGCTCTGAATGACTTATTTATTATATAAATAGGGCTATACAATTTTTTTTTTCCCCAAACTTAATTTGCTTATTATTATAATCAACAATGAAATAAAATAAAGACTGTTGCATCGTGTACATACCGGTATATTCCAAGCAATACTGCAGTAACGAGTAGGAAAACAATCGAAGTTGATTCTATCACGGTTGATGCCGTAGTTACAGCTTGAGGAAGAGTGATGTTACGGGTGCTAAATACAACAGCAAAGGCACTATTGTGTTCACATTGACAAGATGTCACGCTATTTCGAACAATAGTTTTGCACGTTTTATCCGACCACCGTTTAGGTGTAGAAACCGTATCATAGAACATGCAAACTTTTGAAATTTTGCTGAAGCGGTGACTGCTAGGTAGAGCTGCAACAGATTTATCACTTTGCGTGTTTATGTTGAATGAAACAGACTCATTTACATTGGTACCGTTTTCATCCATTAACGATATCAGAATGATATCCAGATCCGAGCTCAAAAAGAAGTCGTTGTACAGGTTAACGTTGTTTGCAAGTGAAGTTTTTGCTTTTGATTTATTTGGTTTAACAAAAGCCGTTGCCAGATATTTGGCTTTGCTTCCGTGTCTCCAGATTATTGAAGAATAGTTTCCAATGGAGATTGGGTCATTGATGGTTTTCTTATATTGCGTAATGATCGGCGTTGCATCTTTTCTTATAATGCCATTATCTGATAATTCACAAATTTCTTCTTTCATTTTTCGAAGTTGTTTATCTAAAACGCATCGGTAAATTTTGATCAACATACTTTCAAAATTACAAATTGAAAATATACGACTCGGTATTGCAAATTAGATGATTACAAAAAAAGAATAGTTATATTCGTGTGAAAATCGAAATTATCAATTAATAGATAGTCGAATTTGTGAATGCTTTATTTTCTTTGTGAATTTTTAAACTTTTTGAATGGACATATTTTGAAAACAAATACCTTATCTTATTCTAATATATACATTAAAATATATTTCTGCTCTGATTGGAGCAATTAAAAAGGTTATTAATAGCAAAGTTTCAGCTGAGTCATTGAATCGTCATATCATATGATTTTTATATTCATGTAGTTCACTTAGTTATTTATGAAAATGCAGTCCAGAGCACAGTTATGACAAAACAATGCGTAACATTATAAAACCCGTAGTGCGTCACGTCTACGGGTCATTTGAACTAATGGCGAATCACGACCTTAATGCTGGCCTTTATCTACCAGCAGGTAGGGCGACTTCGTCCTACGCAAGTAATCGCTGAGTAATCGTTTTATGCAGTACACTCAAGATTCGCAAGGTATATTATATATATAACTTATATATAACTAATAACTATATAAACGCAATTTGACACAAAGTAATCAAGGGTAATAAAATATACAGTCGGAATCATTGTTTATTACAAAATCTTAACCATCAATTTTTATTCTTGTTCATAAACAGACTAGGCCCGGCACAATTCGTTTCTAACAGGGCAACGAATTTGTGAATGCGGTCGTGTCACCAGGAAGTAAAATAATCTATAACTAAGTTGCTCACAAAATTGGTTTGATATATATTTAATAATTATTTAATAAGCTGAAGTCGAACATACATTATTTTTAGATTTTCAAAACTTATATTGAAACCAACTTGTACGCGTTTTTCGGTAACCACAAATTCACAATGTTTATATATTGCTGCCCATTGGCACTTCTTTGGGGATCGCCAAATAATCTGTCACCAAGCCTTCTTATAAACCCAGATACCATTTTTAAAGGAGATTTTAAAAGCTTCGAAATCAACTATAAACTATATAATATATCTGTGATAATTTGGAACGCAATTTATTGTGGTACTATATATGATATATCGTCGATCTCCCACTTTGATCGATAACCGAGATACCGAATTAAGTATATATATAAAATAGTTTGAGAAAATGGTACAGTTAAAGTGACACCATTGACAATGAACCCTATTCCTTATCTAATTTACGGTAGGGCAATCATGCCGGCCCGGTACATGAAATGCACCTTAACATGTGGTGTATTTTAGAAAGTCATAAGTAAATATTGAAATTGCTTTACGCTTGAATCAGAGCTATATACCTTTCTCCCCGAAAACAGAAGAAAATAACTCATTGTTACCTTAAGTAACATTAAAAAAACTGTTCACAAACGTTGTAGCATGAGTCTATACATTTACTAACCTGCGGGACTGAGACAAGACAATTTGTAGGTCATCTGTATGCACATGGAATTAGTTGCATTCACTGTAAAATAACTAGAAATTAGTAAAAAATACATACTATATTAGAGAACCACATACAGGGAGAGGTAGTGGGCATTTGGCAGTTGTTTCCTGTCAAAGACCCACCTCACCGCTCTTTTAGCAACTGAAACGGGTATGTTTTATCACACAGAAATAACGCAAATCACTTTTCTTAAGTGTTACAACTACGCAACCGTTCTTACACCACTAAACCCAATCGAGTAGGCTACATTGAATAAGCTAGAGTTAGTTTTGTGTCCATTTTATTTACTTACAGTTAGTGAATTTGATCAATATCTTCCAGTAACTAGACTTGCAAGTAGCAATCCATGCTGAATCTGAAATTTGTAAATCTTGCTCATATATTTCTAGATAAAGTTATTAATATGAAAAAATCAAAACAAAAGATGTTGATGGATCGCGTGAAACATCTTCTAGTCTGAATTAATATTCACAACACATGAAAAACAAACGGATGGGGTATGAATTGCAAATTTGATGGAAACGCTATTCACGATCGTTAACATCTGGAAAACTAAAACTATTATAAAACCGGGTAACCGGCCGAGAATGATGGATATACTACGGTCATGCCCGGACTTACCATTAGGCAAGGTAAGGGCCCACATTCAATTTTAACTTTATTCATTTTAAATAGTACTTTATTCGTTTTTAAATAGTAAATTGTTGTTCCAGAATAAAAGTGGTTTAAATTTTATAAAAACTAATATATATATATATACTTATTTAATTTTTAAATCGGATTAATATTTCTTGTCCCAAATATTTGTCGAGTATATATAAGAAATATGATATTGCTTTCTGTTTAGATTTATCATCGCATAGTCATTTTTTTCGAAATATATCTAGCTATCCTTATTCAACCCACTTTGGTGATTAGCGCAGGTATCTTGTCTGTAACTGAAATTTCGCATTTCACGCAGTTTGAAAACCTATTTACAGCGTCATGATAGATTTTACATTAAGAAGGGAGGTTCAATGTGACGTCCGTGGGGCCACATGATTGACATAGCCCAGGGCCTCATATCGTCAAAATCCGTTTCTGACTAGGGTCATGATTTTAGCACTTCTTTATACCCAACTTCTTATACGAAAGTCTTCGAGTCAGAATCATAAAAAATTGGCAGATAAAGTAAAAAAATAAAAAAGTTTGATTTTCACGACGAAAAGAGCACAAAAAGCTTATCAATATCAAATTTTAATAAAATATATTACTTTTCGCTATATATATGGTATCAAATTGTGGTAAAATTGCGCTTTTGTACGATGGTCGTAGTATTTTTTGGTGTTGGTTTGGCTTTTTTCTGGCGAGTCAATACTATTCTGCTCAACTACAATGCACGAATAGACTTACCATTCTGTATTTTATTAATCAGCGAACTGCAGTTGGCCGAATTATCATCCTTCTTGTGGCAATATGCCGACACAGCTTCACCTAATGAATGAAAAACAAAAAATACAATATATACTTGTGTTCGTGAGAAAGATTAGTATAAACTACCCCTCGTCGTAAATGCCTAATTTTAGAATACGTATATATTGCAAATCGAGACCAAAACAGTAAACAATTCGCGGATGTAAGAAATGAGTCCTATAAAATGTTTATTTTAAGGTTTCTATTAATTAAAATGGTACAGTTATATAGATAGTACATGCTATTGTTGTCAACTGAATTATTTTTTTGGTTTTAAAAATGTTATTTGTTACAGAAGGCTTACCTTGTGTGAAACATAATTGAGTCAAAAAGGCAGCAATAAGCAAAAAGCAGCAGCATATGGAAAATTTTTGCTTATTGACAAATAATGGGTTATCCATTCGTGGCTTCTTGTTAATGATAATGTAACTTGAAATTATGTACTGTAATATGTAATTTCAGTCTATGCATACAACGTTAAAATGATAAATAAAAAATATTAGAAGGCCGTGTAAACTAGTCTGAAATAGAAATAAAATGAAACGGGTTCGTCTCCAGAATAAAATTTATTAACACGTTTATATCTCTATCAGGTCAACATATCCTTCACGCGTACGATGGCAATACGACAGGTACACGAAGATAATTTAGCATAATATGACATTTTACTGACACAACAATCTAACCAGCCTACACTTGCCCTCTGCTCGTGTCTACTTGATTTTAAGTGCGGTTCACATATATTTCACCCATATTACTTTTTTTTATTAACGATATATTACGATGTCCATTAGGCACGCCCTGTGCTTAGATTAGAACAGCAAGCTCGTTGCTATAGAATAGATTGATCGTGCGTCACTGCCAATAGGACCGTTCAGAATCAAGTAATTTAAAACCGTCTTTGAGCAAGCATGGTCACAGCTTCCATTTAGCGCATTTCAAAAATGGCCCGTGTTCGACCTGCTGTAGATAGATTAATATTTTTGACTGGTGGATGATCAGTCGGTTCGCATGAGGAAGTTCCGCAACGTGCTCTGAATAGATCGACATTAAACGCAGCAATAATTTGGAAAATAGTATGACGCGTAGTTTCGACGATCATGCCCTAGTCGTTCTTTGCAGTTCAACGAATGTGCCCTCATCAAGCACCCTTATCAGGAAACGCTGGAAACATCTAATATATATATATTTTTTTTATACCTATTTCCAGATATTATTTTTGTCTTTTTATTGGATAACTGCACAAATAAAACATTCAGTATAACGATATTTATATTTAAGTATTCCTTTAAATTCATTTATTTATCCTGCCATTTTGTACACGAAATCTTTCTACATTCAGACTCAAAACTGAAAACCGTTTTTGAAAGTCGGTTTCTATAAACAATTTGCGCTATGGCTCACACACCGTAAATACTTCTTAAACAGAGGTTCGCCCACTTCTGATATGGCGACAGACTGTAATACAACCGAATCAAAATAGCAGGAAGTCTTCTGCATTTTGAAATTCCTTCGATCCACCATATCCAATTGGCTATACAAATATTCTCGACATAATCAGTCCGCGATATAAATGGTATCATCATCGCGACTAACTACGTAAAGCACAAAATCTTGAAGGCACGATTCCAATCACAGCGCATAATGCAGTATGCGATAATAGGGCAACCTACACATTCGTCTAACTCTAGGAGTGCATGCCTAAAGTCGATTTACGTACTAGTTGACAAACAGTGTAAATTTCGAAGATCTTTGAAGCAAAAATTACTAGGGGGATGGATATTAACACCTTAAGCTGTTACAAACGGTGACCGTACATTTGAACCCATGCGTATATCCACGGGTTCAATCTATATGCCGGTGCTAAAACCCATGGGTTAGGGTTAGTATGGGTTTAACTATCCGTGAAACAAAAAAAAATCCATAGGTGCAATTGTCATGGGTTCAAATGTAATGGAACCGTTACAAACAATTTCGGATCGAAACTGTTGCATTTACACGACGAACGTAATTACTGACACCGACACAAGTCCACTTCAAAATACTGGAAATGAATAATGATCAGCGGCTTACTACGGGATATTTCTAACCGAGTGTCCAATAATAAAAAGTGTTTCTCACCGTTCCTTTTTACATTCGCATAATATTCAGTTGTATGCAAAATACTGAGGCATGTCACGCAAGGTTCATTAAAAAGATGAAATATTTTTACCTTGCCATCATCACACTTCTGATTATCCTTCGTGGGTTTCCATATAACTGCGCTTTCGTCTTCGCCGAGATGAAGATGAGAATCCCATCCTACTCGATTTGACAATTTTATTTTGGTCTACTCGGTGAGAATTTCTACCGTAAATTTACGATCCGGAAATTCAAGAAAGGTAGTCAATGGGGGTCATGGTTTCATTTCATTACGCGGTACAGCGCGGCCATTTTGCACGTACAAGGTTGCGACATCGTTAGGATATCCATATGGAATATGAAGTGAAGCCACCACACTTCGTTAGAACTTTCTAAGCTGAGCACGCCGAGCGTTACCACAGCGTATAAGAGAGAGGAAAGGTGTAAAAATCGTTCCTGAAACGGAGGCATGAAAAATCAACCGTCGACGAGTCAAGTCAGAGGAGGATAACGAATGAGTTTCGCCAGTTCAGATTCAGTACTAACCTCTTACAAAGTCACAAAATCGTTTCATAGTTTTTAACAGCTAATATTTGAATAGATTGCACATAGACATATGACTTCATTAATCAACAGTGATAAAAAAATATCATTAGCTGGTTAGTATGCGTCCTGTTTCTAAGATCAACTATTTGCATAACATTTAAAGAAATAATAATCAGAAAAAGGATAGCTAGAACCTTAAAAATGAATGTACTGACTACTACACAGAGCTGTGGTCAGGTTTGGATACCAATTTCAGTAATTTCCAGGGCATGAATTAAAGTCAAAATCTTTGAATTAATTTGTCATAGATTTATTAACTGAAACTACGGAAGCCTTGCAAAATTGAGTAGCAAATGAGTTTAGTCACTATAATTTTGACCCTAATTAACGATGTCCAAATGGGGTTAGGTTAGTTGGGGTGAATACTAATTTGTTTTAACCCCAAAATTAACAGCACCAGTATATGATCTTAGTGCACTTTCCCGCATTTACCAAAACTAGGAATTGTGCGAAAAAAAACTTAATGCCTTAGTACAGGAGAATAAAACAAACAAAAAAATTGAAGAAAACACTGCTTATCATCAACATTTCAAAATACTGACGCCGACTGTGCATAAAAAAGTTATAGATAATAATATATCAATATAGGTTAGCAATAAAAAATGATATAACAATGATAAATGTAAATTACAGAAACAGGTAATTGAAAAAAAATTTGAAAAAATAAAATCATTAATTTACAGAAAATAAAATATGAATAAAATGCAAAAATAATTAACACAATAGAAAGTAATTACAGTTGTTAAAGGCATAACATGAAACTATCAGCAATTACTTGCAAAAGTTCTAAAACTTATTTTAATCATAAGATTCATCAATGCAGGAATCCTTTCACTAGATCACTTGAACATGTTTGCAAAAGGCTGTTCAGAGGTAACTTTCGACTCATGTAGGTAACATTATAAATTTTCATTTGTGTCAGAATGTATTTTAATACCGATGTAATTTCCGACTATTACTGTACATGTATAGTTCTTAAAACCATACAGTAAATTTGAAAATTTGGCTCAATAATTTTCTTTATTTTAGTAAATATTTCTCCATGTAAATATTTTTGTCTATTAAATCGTTACATTGGGGTTTCAATGCTTGATGACCAAGTCATTAGTCTCTCATAGGTCTCCAGATTTTAAGTATTAAGGGATGACTCCTAAGTGAAACATAATAAGGTAAAAAATAAAGGGAATATTTGAATAATAAAATATTGGGTTTGGTTCAGATATTATGAGTTAATGAAAATATAGCATATTTATTTACAAAATATAGCTTAGAAGCAATTGATTGATTTTAACCCATAGATGACTAAAACAAAATATGTTTCAATTACGAATTGTTCTCGAAAATGCCTCCCGTAAAACTTCTTTTGAAAAGATACTGCATAGTGTACTAGATAGTGTCCTGCATTTCATTACAAAGTGAGGTCTTATATAATTGATCAAATAAGACTAAATCATTTCCCAATCATTGTCTGATTTCTCCTGCATTGGGAAGTCGAAATCAACATTAGCATCATGTCCAACATCTATTGAATCCATTTTATATTGTGCCTCTACCACTAGAGGGGAGTAGATAGATGTAAATTGATGACGTAATCGTTGGTCGTGGTCGATAGCCCATAATTCATCATAAGGTGTAACTATACAGGAAACAAAAGAATAAGGACTAACAGCAATCTGACGACCAACATCAAATATGTTACAACTAAGGTACCGGTACTTAAGAGTCCTTGTTCACATTGTCAATATTAGAATAGGATTTACATATTTATCCTGGGGGAAGGAAAACTCGATAAGACGACTAAATCATATGGCGAACCACTGTCTTCAATCAATCAATCAATTTTATTTGGTCACTCCTACAGCAACAAATTACAAAACAACAACAAATGAACAAACAAAATACAGAGGACTAGGAGACTGCTTTCTCGTCCGTTTACTAGTCCATGTCGGGTATGGGATTAGTTAGCCAGTTATTTGTTTTTCGAAAGAATGGACTTGATGGTGGAGGAAGCCGTAATCGACCAGCGGCTACGTGAACCACACTGGTGCGGTGAGAAGTCCAGCAATCCTCTCACACATAACTATCATTGCATGGAATTCGAACCTGTGAACCCACACAGGGTAATGAGAGGTGCAAGAAAAATTTCTGTTTAAAATGAACAATCTTAACATTATACCTACGACAAGCAAAAATTATGTTTTCAAGACTAGTACCTGCGATTCTGTTGAATTTTCCTTTTACTTTTTTCCAGTAATCACCAATAAGATTTCTATCAGATATACCATATCTTCTGATCAAATTGCCACCAATTCTCAATCCCCATACGGTGTGATTACTTATACAGATTTGTTGAGCATGAGAACCTGGAAAAAAAGTTACATCATTATTGCAAAAAAGGTATCTTTACGCAGCTCTAATGACAGAATACCCTTCACTTCACTGATATTCTATGCTACTGATGCAACATAATGTACATAAAGGCACAGGCAGAAGGCTGTATGTAATTCACTGCAGTAATGCAACGTCAAATGATTATAAGGAAGCACTCATTAAATTTGTAAGAAATTTTCTTCTTTCACAGAAGAAAAAATTCCATTTTTACATATTTTCAAAACTTTTATGAAATATCTACGTTATTACCTGGAACTTCTTCCCACTTATCACCGACCGGCAAAGTGAATGAAACTCCAGTGCGAACAAAAACAATATTTGCATCATCTAATGCCCACACACTGCCATCAGAAAGACCACACTCTATCTGAAAATTATATTAACACAATTTAAAAGAAATTGACTAGAATAAACATATTAGGAGCCACCTCGAGCCAGTCCGATGTTTAATATAAACACTATACTTTTAACAGAATGAGTTAAATCAAGGATTGGTTTCTTAACCGGGGGTCCCTGACCCCCACAGAGCCATTGGAGGGGGCACATTGCTAGGCGCAAAACTGATTTAATTTATCCTTTACGAGAATACTTCCCTGTTTCTCCGAGTTTTATTGCTTCATAAAGTTATTTCACAGGGTGTTTTCATCAATTGAAAAAACACTAAAAATACTACTGGAATGATGAACAGGTGGCCATGAGTGCAAGAACCTAGAAGTCTCCAGAAGGGGCCACGAGCCATAAAAGGTTGGCCACCACACCCCCGCTGTATTGCCCATGTTTACAATGAGGGTGTGTATACTGTATAACTACATTGGCCTCATTGGCATTTGTGGGATATTGGACAGCAGGACTACTTGTTGACTTTGACAAGCGAGTTGAAAAATTTCACATAATGATATTTATGAAATAAGATTGCCAATTCAGGTTTCTGATATCATACAGAGTACATATTATTTACATATAAATCAATTGAACCTCTTATGCTGTGAAAATATCTAACCTGTATAAATTTTCGTCCTGACACTTGGCAACCTTCTATTGGAATCCATGCAGGTGGAAGGGAATGTCTATCTACTGCTGCAACACCGATTCGAAAATATACCAGACCACTGGAATCAACAGCCCAAACGTTTTGAGTTCCGCAACTCAAGTACACAAGTTTTGTTTTTCCTATAAATGAACTTAGGTCAGAAAATAATTTATGACCAAAAATAATACTTACCGGTAAATTAATTTAAATTTGAGTATATTTAGTTTTGAATGGCTCCATTGCATACAACAAACAACAAAGACCTTCTCATCAGAGCCGGTCTTAACTAACGCAGAGCTCTATGCAAAACAGATTGCACTTGGCCCCTTCTAGGTAGCAATTAGGATAACTGAAAATTATGATTTTGGAACATAAAATGAATTTGTCTTTGCATTTTGTTACCTGTTAGCTAAGTACAATTTCAAGTTACTTCATGTGTTTACGGCTTATGAGTCTTTCGTGCACATAATAAACATGATGGTCTGTAGTCTGTACATGTTTATAATTCATGAATTCACACCTAGAATCAGTTTGGGGCTCACTATGGTGGCATTGGGGGTCTTGCCCCTCTCTTACTTACCCAACTGTTCGGTTGTATCAAGTTTATTCCACTCTGTTCCATCCAAACAATCTGCAGAAATTCCTGATCTAATATAAACCGTACCATCATCATGTAAAACCCACAATGCTTCCTTACACGCAGACATACAAGAAATTGTTACTTTGTCAGTTACCGGTGTAATAAGAGTTACTGCGTGTGTAGTAGCAACATCTTGTGAGGGAAAGCAAAATATCTCCCCATTAGGTCGAGACGCCCACACCAAACCTGTAATTGTAAAAAAAACTTGTCGAATAAAAATCGCAATCAATCACTAATATGTAAAAAACATGATATTTAGTCATACTAGATTTATTTACAAGATGAAGACAAAAAGACCCAAATTATATAATAGTAGGCAATTCGTGAATAGGTTCAGTTTATTACAGTAAATCCAAAAAATCTTCAAGTAGAAAATTCAAAATGTCAAAAAACAGATTTACGGAAGCCTATAATTTATAGTACAACCATATTATATATACTACACAGTACAGCAGTCTTTCCCAGCACATGAGATATTGAGTGAGCAATGTTTGAACTACATAGACACTGCATACTTCCAAACCATACTAGCTCCAGCTTAAGTCCAAATGGCTGATTAAATATGCTGTGTGAATGTGTGAATTGCCACTTAAAACAAAAAATGCACAACATATTCACAATCAGAACTCTGACATGACATTACTCACTTTAATGGAACCAAATTTTTTTAAACTCAATACTACCCCTTGGTAGGTACTGTGTTGAAAAGGGGGAATTCCGTTTCCATTTACAATTCTTACCAATCCAATTCCCATAATCTGCTGAAAATATAGATGATGTTGTGATATGTTGCCACTTGGAAGATTTTGCAACTCCAAGGGGAGTGGTGATATCCCATCTACAACCTAGAATATAAAACACGAATAGGATACACATATTCATCTCCAGGCAGAGGAAAACTGATAAGATAACTGGTAATCATATAGTGTACCATGGCTTCTCGTTTAAATACCAGATCATGTCGGATATGGGGAAGTTTACCGGTTATTCGTTTTCAGATGCCTAAACTTTGATGGCGAAGAAAGCCGTAACCTACCAGCAGTTTGCGTATTCCTAATGCTCAGCACAACGCGGCATATCTACACGCTTCAAATGATATATTCAATGTACATGGAGACTAAATCACAAGTCACACTGAACAAATTTGGAGAATCAGTAGTGTAGTATGTGCATATTTTTAATTCTTTAGACAGCAGAATTTGTAATTCGTACCAGTTAACGGTCCTCTGGCAATATTGACTTTCTGGTTATCGTGGACAATCCAAATAGACTGATTGTTAACTGCAACATGTTGTGCTCGCACCAATCCAGCCATCCATCTCTGAACCTAAAATTGAAATAATTATATAATAATAATATAACTTCGAAATTAATGTAAAAGTCATTCAAAACATATCATTAGCTATAAATTGAACTACTGTATATCCTCGCATATAAGCTGATCTCGCATATAATCTTAAAAACGGCCCTGAGATTGTGAATTTATAAAAATTTCCATATAAGCTGACCCTACAAATCGTACTCTCTTATCATTGAGTGCAATCAAAGTTACGTTGAGTTATAAATCCTGCCATAGAGATAAATATTTACAATAAATATGCTTTAGTTTGCTCAAAACGAGTAGCTTCATTTGTCTCATAACTTTTTTTAATGCAAATGTAAGAATCATCTCTCACAAATACAAAATCTTCATGTACTCTATGTATTAAGCATACCTTATGTACTGACATAGACACACTGGCAGGCAAAGCATGTAATGTAGTATGTGATAGAAGATGTTGGCCTTCGTCAATATATTCGCTCACATTGACCTGAAAATAAAAAACAAAATTAATAATTGTTATTGATGTACAAAACTGTCTTATTTTTAAATAATGCTATTATTCCTAATTTTTTAGTCTTTGAACATTTCTTATCCTAGACAGATAGATGTTCATTCATCGACCATTTATAATTTATAAGATGGTAACTGTTCTGGAAACTATTGTCACACGGTGCATAATTTTTAATTTTGACGACTTCATCGCACACAAAAACAAATCCCATGCAAATTTTCACAACAACAACATAATAACCAAACGACCCATATATGCACTTCGTGTACAACAAGATGAACAACAAAAACAACATAACATCAAAACAATCCACATGCACACTTATTGTCTTACCTGCCACCAATTTCTATCCTCAGTCAGAAACCACAGCATTCCTTTGTCATCCACAGCAAAGATGGTATTTCTATAGTCGCTTGTTATAGATTGTATAGAGGACTGATGTCCATCTCTGATGAATGGGAGATCAACTGAATAAATTGAAAAAGACGATGTATTAAAAAGCGAATAGTCCAAAGGCTAGAAATGTATAGATGAGCCTTTCAAATACAATTTAAAATATTATCATCGTCATAAATTGTGTAGTCAGGAGGAAATTGAAAAAAGTATTTAACTATACATGGAGGAACTAAATTTTTAAAATGGATTTGGACCAATAATTTTTCTCATCAAAATGTAATGTTTGCTCACAAATTGCCCATGAATGCACCAAATACATTGTCCCATTCCTATGACCAAGTATTCGCTATATTGAATAATAACGAAGCATATTTCTCACTCAATTTGGTTTTAACATGCATGCTTGGCTAGATACATTGCATGGTTGAAAAAAGTTTGGTGATATAGAAAGAATATTCTATCAAGACTTGTCCTATTCATATTCATAATAAAATGATTTGTATACTCTCTAAATCAGGCGAAATTACACTGTGATGCAAATTGCATGATATGTATTGTAGACTACTGATATTCTCTAAATTTATTTTCATTGCAGACCTGGTTCCCAAGAAAAATCACTCGAATCAATAGAACTCAATTCTGCAGCAAATATTTGACCATTCTCAGTTCTGCACCAAATTGTTGACCTCGTAGATGTAATATGACTGATCTGACAGAAAAGACATTTGTTGGAAGTAGAGGAAAACAAATAAAACAAGTTAATTATATAGCAAACTATAAGCTTATGTCAAGTTATCAGTCTAGGCTACATTCCAGTAATCATGCCAAGTATAGGGTGACCCAAAAAAACAGAACTCATAAATTTCTTAAGTACTTCCACGAAATAAATACAATTTATTTAACAATTGAAGAATTGGTATGATCATACCAAAAAGCATTATTAATCTAGAACATTTGCACAAAAAGTTATATTCTTCCAAGAATATGCTACAAATGTCTTGTGTGCTGTTTTTTAGGTCATCTCGTACATAGAATTAGATGAACTTCAAGTGGAATGGGAGGGGACAACAACAACAGACAACCAACATCAGCAAGGAGCGACAATCCACTTGCATTACTAACGTGATTGGAAAAAAAAACAGTAAAAGTTGATGATATGATTAAGAAGTTTTACAATAGAAACAGAAATTGGTACTTCCGTAGGATGTATTGTATACCAGGTTCAGGATAGGCCATAATTTATTCAGACTTTCCTTATTTTAGTTCTATTACTTGTTCGGGGGACTTTTTGTGTTAGCCAAATGAACATACCCCCTGCCACTAGACTTCTGTCCCTTTAACAACTTGATGTAAAAGAGGCGAACAAAATTAGTTACCTCCCTATTGGTACACACACTTCTGGAGCGCCCAGAAATTATATATAAAATTCTGATGTAAGAACTCAAAGGAGCTCAACAAATCTGATGATAAAAAATACAAAACGCCTAATCATGAAATCTGAGATATTACCCAGTACCTTTTCTAAATTCCAGGGCACTACATCCCAACTTTTAGAAAAAGGATTTGATCTTGAAATTCCAAATTGAACTTTAACATTTCCACCATTCGATACAACCCACGCACTATCATGACCGAGAGTAGCATACTTCACTTCACTGCTTACGAATTGCCAGAATAATTTAATGGGTTCCTCTAGTGACTGGAAATCAACTGGCATAACAGCAGCATACACATTTCCACCTTTGGTAACAAGCCAAGCTACAGCACCTTGAAAATATGATTACATTTTCTTGAAACAAATCTCTGCACCAGTGGTTTCTAAACTTGTATTAAAATATTATATTCATGTATGCAAAGAGACGACCATTTCCCATGCATGTCTAAGTTCTTTCAGTATGGGAAATTTGTAAAGTGCCTTTAAGCAGTATGGATCTACCAAGTATGTGTGCATTCATAAAATTTACACTGTATCCATGCATGCCACTGTTCTTATTGATCTAATGCAGTCAATGCACAATAATAATTCTATAATGCTTAAAAAATTGTTAGGCATTTCGATAGTCGCTCATAACTTTGATCAGAAATGGGTCACTTTTTTTTCTGAGTGGGACTGTGTCATCTTGATTTGAGGAAATTTTCTTAAAATTGTAGTGTAACTATTCCACACAAATCAAGCAATGTGGCAATCAGCACCCAGTCAATAAGAGAGGATCTTCATAATCCACCACTGTCCCCTCATGCGTTTGCCATTCAATGTCAGGTATGGTATTAGTTAGCCAATTATTTGTTTTTTAGACTTGATGATGGAGGAAATCGCAACTAACCAACAGTTACGTGAACCACCCTACAGCAATCCATCAATGCTATCCCACACATTTATCCCGACAGGACTCGTTCCTTTGAGTACAGGCATGGTAACCAGAGGTCATATTTCAATAGCTAAGCACCATGCGCAAACCTCTGAGTGAGTGTACGTTCACATTAGGTTAAAACAAGGTATTTCATCAAATCGAGTATCCAGTAACCACTCAAACTTGTGAAATTAACATCATTGAAAGTCAAAACCCATGAAAGCTTACCACTTGGTGATACGCATAATTGCACTCCCTTCTTGGCAAGTTTTTTCCACTTAACATTAAACATTTCAAATGCAATCTCCTCTGCTATGTATATATGATTACTGCTATCAATAAACCAGATGAAGGAATCTGATCCTAGGAAAAGGTAATAAAGTAGAAATAATAAAATTTAGTGATTCCATATGATTATTAAACATCACAAGGGTGTTAAATGTGAATGGAAAATGGATCCGAATTACATTTAAACCGCAAAACTTAACTTGAGCTCGTTGTTGTTACTAGAATGCTATTACTTTTATTCACTTAAAAAATTTCTGTGGGGTTTATGGGATTCGTTTTTCACTTCGAAGTTCGAGTGATATGGTCATCAAAATTAAAAATTGTGCAATTAAAAACATGCATCTGCTGAAACTCTTTACTTTACTAGCTAATGATCTACTAACGATTGAACAACCAATGGAAATATGAAGTTTTCATGCATATTGGGGAATGAACATTTTGAAATTAAGCACTAGGGGGAAGGTATTAAAAAAGGGTTAGGATCCATTAATCCTTTACCAGACCTTGTAACCATACAAACAGCTACAGTCTGCCATACATGCTATCCAGAATTAAACAAAAAAATCTCGCCCCAATTCACCTGAAACACTGACAACTTGATGTTGCAAATTTGTAGCCGACCAGCTGTCTAATAATTTAACAGGAACTGTATCTCCAAAACAACTTGTAAAACTCTGGGTAGAGGATGCCACACTGATTTGTTTTCGCACAACAGTAGGTAATACCTAGACAAATCGATAAAAATTATTGTTTATCAAAAGACACCTTTGAATATTCAGGATAATGAACTCATAGTATTTTGGAAAATGAGAAAAAGGTCTTCTTTGAACTAAAGAACCAATAAGAGTGAAAAATAAAGATTTGAGTATATATCCTCGACTTCCATATGTTATTTGTTGAATATGACTTCAATATTTCATTTTTGCAAAAATCTCATCTTAGAAATCTGATCGCAAAAAACTCAGACTTGTGTTAAATTGAGTCTATGAATTCATGGCAAAAAGAGAAATAGATAATTAATTGATGAGAAATTGTTTATTCAATGATTATGTTTCAATACTTTACGATAAAAAAGTAAAAAATGATCAAAAAAAACTCACAGGGGTCTCATATGAGTTATCTGAATCAGTCTCAATTTCACTCCCAAAATCCACAGATCCGTCTTCTATTCTATAAATATCATCAATACTGGAAGCAATTTGAGTGTTTCTATCATTATGTGTTTGACTCTCACTCACCCTTTCATTGAGTGAGTCCTCAGAGTCAGAAAACAATGGCTCCTGCTTTGATTTTACAACAGCTGTTGAGATAAAGTCACTATCCAGAAGAAAAGGAGTGCTGACAGCGTTGTCAGAAATACTTGCAACCTTCGGTGAAGTTTTCAACTCTGATGTTGAATCATCAAGACCAGATTCTGGTTTTAAAATAGTACAATTTGCGTTTTTTTGCTCGCTTTTTTGCTTTGGTAGAAATTCTTCTTTACAGTTATTTCTTTCATCTGAGTTAGTGCGTTCTGAAGTAATTTGGACCTCTTCGATTCTCGACAAGTTTAGTGATGCAAGCTTAGATGTAGAGAAGTCAAAATCTGTAGAATCAATTTTTGGTGACTGAACAACTTTTGGACATAACTGATTCCCAGTTGTTTTATGCATTACAACAATAAGATCTTCATTTTTCCCTGTAGACGACATTCCACCACTACTAGCGTTAGTATTTTCATGATCTTGTATTGAAATTACAGAGTCATCATTCAGACCAGAGCACCTGTCTTCATACAAAGTATTGTGATCTACAGTGGCTTGTGAACTTTGATCTTCAACCTTCAAACCAGGAAGGTCACTTTTCCTGTCTTCATATGAAATATTGTGATCTACAGCGGGTTGTGAACTTTGCTTTTCAACCTTTAAACCAGGAAGGTCACTGTTAATCTCTATTTGTGAAGAGTGGAGTTCAGAGGAAGTGAGCAAGTTATGAGTGTTACTCACAATATCAGTTTTCTCTTGAGTGATTATTGTTTGTTTCCCACTCGACGTTGAAGCTGAAAAATAATATAGGAATCATATATTGTGGCATCTATTTTTGACTGATGCATTAAATACTGGGCGCTCCAGAAGTATGTGTACCAATATGGAGGTAACTAATTTTGTACGCCTAATTTACATAGAGTTGTGTAAATGAACTAAAAACCTATGGGCAGGGGGTTTATTCACCTGGCTAACAAAGACAGTCCCTGAACTCGTAATAGAACTAAAATAAGGAAAATCAAAATAAAATTATGGCATAGCCCTAACCTGGTACACACATTACAGGAGTACCAAATATTGAACTATGCTTTATCTATGTAGTATATCACCATCTTATTCATAAAGTATGGCATTACTAGCCTTGTAAATTAGTAAAAAGTATTTATAAACAATTAAGACCCATATTGCATACTTATTTCACCATCCACCATGGATTTGGTAAGCGGACGACAGGCCGGGGTTCGCTTTATAAGTTGTTTTATAAGCTTCCCTCTAACCAGGATATTCAAATAAGATAATCATATTCAAAATATAAATTTATATTCTTCATATAAATTTTCAAATAAATCATTGTCAAAATGCAAAAATAATTGAAGAATAGGAATGTTGTTTCAATATGCATGATTATTGTGTTGATAGTCAGCAAAATATAAAGCAAATTAAATTTTCACTGAGTGACATCTGGCATATATCATAAAACTTCTGAGGCGTTTTACCGCCTTCCCTCTGAGAAAGAATCTGTTACGGCAGGCACTTGAACTTTTATTATTTCGCCAACAGAAATCTTTCCAGTTCTGCATTGCGTATCCAAATTATTGACTCTTGGGTGAAGTGGTGGGTATGGTATGGAGTATTCGGAACCCATAATCTCTACCCTGTCAACATGCGAACCAATGACCCATTGCAAATATCCCGCAACTATCAGAATAAAGTAGTATTACTTGATCTTGATTTCTTCTTTCTTTTAGACACGAATACAATTTCTCCTCCATCTTCTGATGCAATTTTATCAAGTTTATCAAAATGAAATTTCACCGGTGATTGAGGTCTATCCTATAAGTAACAAATTGAAAATATTCTGTAAAATAACCTGAGATATTCCTAGCCGAATAGATGAAACAGCCAATAAAATCAATTTTGCAGCTAACAATTCAGATATTGGTGTGTAAGAAGCATTGGACATTGACTTCTTTTTTATGTCGCTCGCTTGGAAAGGAACACCTTACACCTACATGACATAAAGGTGGAGGTCACAAAAAGGTGAACATCTTGAATGCTTTCATATAAAAAATTTAGGACTGATACACTGCCGTGTAATATTGATGTTACAAAATACTTTATAACTAATTCCAGCGTTTCAGTACTAGTTAAATATTGATTTGCTAATGTACGTTCTGTATGTCGCAAACATTATTTCATGTCTACTTTCATACTAAGATAATCATATATCAACAAAATGAATTGGACTAAAATATCTTACTGAAAAAAACTGTTTATGACTTGATTCTTAATATTAATTATTCAAACCTATAAAAGATAGAAAAAAGTATTTCAAACAGCTTGTCTAATCTAATACAATTGTGAGGAATATTCATGGGATTTGTTGAAGGTATATTTTCACAATATAGACCTTTAATACCAGATAAAACAATTTAGCAAACTTACCTCAGTATCGTTCAATAATTCCGGGTGGCCTTGAGAATGTAAAAAATCTTGATCCAAACTTTTTGATCCAAGCACCATTTTTTTATTAAGTAATTCAGGCTTCTTCAACATGTTTGGGTCCAATATCGGAACCGTTGAATCATAGCAAGACATTATTTGACATTCAGTTTTTGAAGAGGAATCATTTGTATTGTCATTATCATTGTTTCTTGTACTAGTCAACTTGTTTGAATTACCCATGTCTTCATGGCAAGTTTCTGCAATTTTTATTTACAATTTTTCCAATATGACAATAATATACATTCTGTAGACCTGTAGGTTTTTTACAGGTGTGAATCCTAAGAAGAGCGAGACTCAAACAATCGTTGTTTGTAATTTAATTGGGGTGAAAGAATCGTTCGGTAATTTTAAAAAAGGGATGCAGATAGAAGTAAAAGTAAAATCGCTGGTTTACAGAAACAGAAATAAAACATTCAGTGCTCTTCAATTAAAAAAAAACACATCCCTAGTAGAAAATTTCAATTTTCAAAATGAAATACTTTTTTTTTTCGGTTGGTCATATTCCGCTGACAAATCATGTTACAAAAACAGACCACAATTAACAGCAACTTTAATTAAATTAGAAAATAAATTAATTGACAGCATTCAATTGGTAAGGTTTACTAGGTTGAATGTGCATGGTAAAGTATTACTGTAATAGATATTTGATTATGGCATGGAAAATCACAAATCTTAATTTTAAATATCTTTACAAAGATTAATTGAAATAATAAGCAATTAAAGTGTTAAATTAAAATAAATCAGATTAGGATCAAGAATATATATCGACAATTACTTCAGCCAACTTATAACAGCCCTAATAGCAAGTCTGCATTAGAATAAATTTAACTAAAATCTAAATCATCAGTAAGTTAGATAGCAAGCATATGGAACAGTGTTGACTAATGAAATAACTTGAATAGTTTGCTTACAAATACCTATATTAATTAAAACCGGGGTAATTTAGATAGGCCTATTCCAGAATTAAGATAACTTTTGAGAAAAGCATCCCAGATTACTGAAACTTATGGGTACAGTCATTCACAAACAGAAGTTCAAGTGTTCCTCTCACATAAGTAATCGGGAAATGTTTGGGTTCTGCTTTATTGTCACATTATATTTTATTTTAGTTGGGTACCCTACACATCAAACTTAAAAACAATTCTTGAATGTGAATTGTATAATTGGTGCTTAGCATAACAATGAACACATAGTGCCATTTGTGCACACACAAAGAAGCATCACCCATATATTTGTTTTCTGTTGATAATATTTGTATATTTATGTCACGTGCATAGCAGCATGTGCTTTGGTAGTTTAATGATTTACCTTTTGCTATGACATGTTTGTTTAACCTAGCTTTAAAATAAGTCAATTTGATATCTATACATACTAGATAGATTGTTGTTGTATTTTAGAAATATTTCATTGTTGAGTTAATAAAAGATATACACATAGGTTATCTTACATCAAAAACCTCTCCACTGAAGCAAAATGAATTGGGTATGATCAAGACAAATATACTATTGATAATAGCAGCATATTGTAAAATTTATCAACATTATCATGACCTGGACACAGCATTGCTAGGAGTGGTATGGATTTATATATTGAAAATCATACAAAATAGCCAAATAATTTTGGGGCATTTAGCAACCAAGGTAAAGTAGGCAAGATGTCATCACCCTCCAGGTATTTTATTCAAGAACAATAATAAGTATAATATACAATAAAAAGCCAAGAATCCTGTTCCTATATAAGTAGGACGTAAAAATATCATCATCTACAATAGCCTATTACAATTTTTAGCTGCAAACATAGGAATCACAAAACGTAAGCAATTGGAAGTACCTGTAGTTATTCACCATCCATTTAACGAACTATATAGGCAAGTGCTTGACAACAGCACACAGTATAACGGAGAATTCAAAACTCGATCAACACAATCAAAATTAGTCAAATATTCTTACCTGAATTTTCTGCTTCTGTATTTATGTCTTTAGTTTTGTTATCATTATCATTCACAGATTCTTCAGTGACATTTGGTTTTCGAATATCTGAGGGTGGGTTAATATTTTTGTCATCCTTAGTGAATAGTGTTGTCGCCACAACAGGAAGTTTCTTTTGAAGTTCTTTAGCCTGAATGAATAATCATATTGTATTTTCTGATCCGAATAATCTTAAAAATAGGCAAATAAACATACAACTCATAATGTTACCCATATGTTATTAAACTTCAAACATAACTTTACTTTAATTTATCAATTTTCCATGAGCATAGACTTCACATATATATATAGGTTCTTCGGAAAAAGGAAAATCTGACAATTGTTATTTTACCAATCGATTCCAGAATTTCAACTAACCTCCCAATATATTACAAAAAGAGGTTTAATTATTGATCAGTTATGACAGCACAGAAATATGCTGAACAGTCAGATCAACATGGACATATGAAGTGGCATACCTACATAAAATGGCGCCCATGGCAAAGTTTAAAAATACACCCCTCGATCGTTGACTGAGAATTTTAGCAACTGTTGTTGAATTGAGATACTTGTACGTTACTATTTGAGTAAAATACATGTTCAAATCATTTTCAATTTGAAATTATTTTATTGGAACATTTTATGACTAAAACTTTTTGCCCTTTTTGCACCCCTATCCAAACTAATATCCACCTGAGACTGTATTCTTTGTGATAATTGTCCTGCACCCTCATTTAAACTGGACATTCTTGATTGTAAAACTCCAACAAATGGTGTGAGATTCTTCTTCATTTCCGTAAAGGATGATTTGACGTCCTACAATCGACAATAAATTTGACAAAGAGATATGGGAGGGAACAATTAAATGCTATTAGGTTAAGTTATGAAAAATAATGCCATTTTTGTAAAACTCCCCACATTTGCAGCAACATTTTACAAAGTGAAATTTGCCATATAATATGATGATTTTGTGGGAGAAGATATAGGAATTTAGAACATTTATAATAAATTCCAAGATCAAATCCTATATTTCCAAATAAATGGCTTGATATCTCTCACAAGTTTTACTTTCAATATAAGTCACAACCAATTCAAATCCACAATTTCACAAAATCACCTGTAAATTTATACTCTGTCCATCCTTTTTCTTTTCTTCATTGTTTGAACGTTTCAACTTAACTGCAATAATTAAGTTAACAAGAAGACAAGGTAAATGATGTTTGTATGATAAAACAAGGACATACAACAGCCAAAATTACCCCCCCAAGTTGCAGTCTGATTACACATAATTAGAAGTCCAAGGTTTGAAACTCAGTTATTGCATTATTAATACAGCAAAACATACAATCCTTTTTACAGCCTTTCTAGTATTGCACACAGGTGCCTTGATTCCTCACCGCCAAAAAGGTTATAAACCACTCACTGCCTTATGCATTGTCATTTGATAATATCAACTGAAGCTCCAAATATCGACAAAACATTTTGCTTGTGAATGATACAATCATTTTGCCTGACCGAGTATAAATTATAAACAATAGAAACTAAAGTATAAGGGAAAACTTGCGATGCATGCCCACCGGAGGCACGAAATAGGTTTACAGGTACTTACTTGCAGCTTCATCAGGATGTTCAGAAATTCTATGAAGTTGTCGATCTTTGCTCAAAACAAAAATTTCATCTGTACTCACAGCTACGTCTAAGATAATTGACATCTCTTGATTACTTGCGATAAGACAAGGTTTCGTGTGATCAATCAAGAATAGTGATGTTTCTAAATTATAAAAAAATATAACAAACATAATTAATACTTGAAATTAAAAATGTTGATATGTTACACCATACTGATTTAGAATACGGTAAATATGCTACAAAAAATCTGTAATATAAAAAAGTTATTACTATTTTTGAGGCCTAAAAGACTGTTGTCATTTTTAAAAATGACTCATAATATTAAACAGTTGAACATTTCCTTTTCTATATGTTATGGAAATATATATAAAGAACAACAAATCATGTGATTCAGATGAAAGTGAGCCAGTATAAACTCTTGTTAAATGTGTCATCATCACTGAGAATAAGGGGTAAGTTGACAAATTCAACTTTGTCATTCACCGTATTTTCCAGGCTGACAAGCTGAGACCAATTTTCTTGCATTAAAAATGAGGGGTTTATCATATTATCGCTCAATAAGCCGAGACAGAAATATTGTGTTATTTTTTTTCTCTTTTCTTCAGCTTCATCAATTATTACTAATGCACGGTCTATTATTATCGATTCTCTTTTATTCATATTTTCTTCAGTTACACGCCAATGCGCAAATGACATGTTTATAGAAATGCGCCAAAGCACCTTCCTTGTTTCAATGAGCTAATGGGTTTTTACTACATGTGTTGGTATCTGTAATTGCTTTTGCTTGTGATACACACACAAATGCAGCATATTCAACTATAAAATTCACAGTGAGGATATTCCAGATTCACAGTACTACAACGCCGATTCATGAAAACTGACAGAGAAGGAACATTAATGCCTTTACTGATCCAAAGTTAATTAATATTGAGACAACCCCAAAGAACGGCAACAAAATTTTGCATAATACTTTGATTTTGCCATGTCGAATGCTTCCAATATGGGCATTAATAAACGAAAATATAACATACTATGATGATGTTACCTGAATAAGATAGCAAGTATTCCTGAAAAAATAATAATTTTCTGAATTGAGAATCCTTGTTATTTTGAGCCTCTTCCAACTGTAAAATTATTTTGGGATGAGCCGAGGACACAAGGTCTTTTAACAACAACGTGTTTGTTACTCGTCCTTCAGTGTCAGCCTGTTGATAGAAAACAAGGGAGCAATGCTCAAATATATGAAAACGAAGGTCAAAATAAAGTAGTACAGGCATGCAATCTTTCACAGTAAACTACCGGTATCGCAGTTTTCACAACTTCACCTGGCCACCACAAGATTGTAATGAACGCAAATGCCACAAGGTGCGCAAATATTAACTTTGATGACGTCATCGCACATGAAATACGAATCTCATAGCAACCACAGAAATTTTTGAAATAGTGCTGGTGCTAGTGTTTCAACCACGGAGTGACCCTCAAGTATAATAGTATAACAAAGAACATTTGCATTAAATTCTGAAAGTGAATCAAATACATCAAATAATTGTTTATCCTAATATGATACCTGTAATTGTGTGTAACGAGCAAAAGGCTCGAAATGCGCAACATCAAATTTAATAATCTCAGTGGAGATATTCTAGATTTACATTAAGAGAACGCAGATTCATGCAAATTGACATGGAAGGCACATTGTTGTACCCTTCTTTGAGTATTATCTGGTACAAACCAAAATTAAGCCCACACCAGCAAAATAAAGATAAGACGAACCCAGGAAATCAGGATGAAAATAGGGTCCAGAAAATCGGCTTATCGACCGGAAAATACGCTATTCCTTCAATATACCAATATTACTATCCAATCCCAAACATTATGATTATAAGTAAATTGTAACAACTACAGTATATTTACTTACAATCCATATTCTATATCCAGGTCTGGTACAGAATACTTGCAAATCAGAAGCAGATAGAGAATCAGGATTGAAGCAGGAACCGAAACATCCACTAAAAAATAAATTGAGGATTTCTTGAATCCGGATATTAACATCCAGAATATGAATTTATTTAAAATGTCAATTGATGTCGAGATTTTCTAATACAATATGAACACAAACCTAAATGTGTAAGCATGGTGGCAATAACAAATCAAATATTTGAATAACTTAAAATTAAAGATATCCAACCTATCCAACATAAAATTAATGATTTGAGGAATAATACAGTATTATTTGCATTTCAAAAATTAATTTTTTGCGCAATTGAAGACTCACAGCAAGTCTAAAAAGTTATGTAGTTTCCGTATAGTGGAAAAACTAGGAAACTGAAAAATTTATAAATTTTTTTGATCATTCCTGCAGATTCATACTCAAGCTCATTGAATATATACAGCCTTCTATGTGTTCTTTGATGTGTATGATTCATTCAAAATATATTCAATTTCTTATTAAAAAAATTATCACAGAATGTACTGGGAACAGTAGATAATTAAGTTTGGTCGATCCCAGTGTATGAGTTACCACTACCAATTTACATAATTCACAACTCACCTTCTAAAAGGTTTTGATCCTATAGGTTTCAATCCTTCATTTTTCGATTTATTTGTATGTAGAAGTACAGTTCGCTCTGTTGTAGAAATTAGTAATATCATGTGCCTGTACGATAAATCAACAATTGCTTGCCGCTCCGAATGAATGAGAATAACATTGCACTTGTCCTAAAGTAAGATACAGTTAATGCATATAAGAAAAAATAAATTATAATTCTATAGTAAAAATGATCTACCGGTATATCGAAAATGTATAACACTATGAAGCAGCATTTAAAACTACTAAATGGTAAAATATGAGTCCATGCATCTGAAACAAATAACTGGCAACCATTCCCATACCCGACATTGACCGGAAACTGGAGGAATGCCATATGATTAAGTCGTCTCAGTAGGGATATGATTAGCTGTTTCAGTTATGAATTACCTTTTCAAAATCTCTTTCGATCAAATAAATATTTCCTTTTCTATCACCAGTGTATAATTTCATTCCATTGCTACTCCATTCCATACATGTTATTTCAGCTGGATGAACTTTACCAAGAGAAAATTTTTTAACCTAAAATTAAATTTGGTAATGTTATGACAATGTGAACTGTAAAGTCCAATACACTCTGATCATTTGATACTTTTTTTTTGCAATTTACGGTAAGACTCAAAACTTACAGTAAGAATAATGTTTTTCCAACTGATTGCAATAACAAAAAATACCATGTTAAGAAATAAATTAATATAACTTATATCTACATAAATCATTCCAATTTGAAATTACTGAAACCCAAGATTTTATAGTCAGATTTTGACTGGTACTGAATTCCACTATTACAATTTAAACAATTAATCACATTTCCAATGCCTGAACTCATTAAAATGAAAACGAGAATATCGGTCAGAGATCGAAGACTTATCGATCGAAAGTTAGGGGATCCCCCAAAAAGCGCTCTGACTCCATAGTGACACCTTGTGTCCCATCACTAAATAATTAATAACTCGCTAATCATATGACATAATTCATCCAACATCAATAGGCTTCTGGTCCGACATATGATGAATGCACATGCAAAATCTGGAGCAGATTCAATCTCACTTTCGTGAGATATCGCATGCATCTAACAGACAGACAGATATACAGACAAATACCTATCAACATACTTACCGATTGAAATCGATAAGTAAAAATGGCCAAAGAGACATTTAAATTTGAAATATGAAAAACATAATTTTGCTATAATCAACTTAACATTACACCGATAACTTAACAGGCAGATGGAGAACTCTCATTATCAATAGTAAGAACCCTGCCATTACCAGATTTGAATGATAACTATTTGAAGATCACTAAATAAAAGCGGTAAAAAGAATTTAAAATAGTAAAATATATATGATTGGTACACAAATATACCTGTCTAGTAGAATTTGTTGATCCATTAGGAAAAATCACAAGAGTAATTCTTCCCTCTTCTGTACCAAGAGCAGTTTGAAATTCAATTCCAACAAAAAGTTTCACAGAGGAAATAACATCACCTTTGTTCTGTGGAGAAAATTTGATTGTTAATAAAAGTGAACGATGAAAACTTTGAATCCTGAATGAAACTTTCCAAAGAATAGTGCAGATATTTTTAAGTTGTCCACATGTGCAAATGTTCTGAATATACATGAGCAACTCTAAGAATCGGATATTATTATGCCACATTGATTCTCAATTATAAACCTATTAAGATGAAAGGATGCATTGCATTACCTGCTTCATCTTTCATCTGCAATTATTTCATATATAAAAATGCTTGCTCTTGTTGGGCCAAGTTTTGCCAGAGAAATATAGAAATTTACCTAGCAATTGCCCTAGCTGTTAAATTTGTCTCCATCAACAGATAAATAAGCAAACCAGTAGACGCTCGGGATGGATATCTTAGGCCTGAATCAGTACAGGGTTGTTAGCGGATAACTAGGGGATGGGTGTTGCTACTTGCGATTCGTGCAAAAATTGCAGGACTGTAATGGCAGCATACGCAAGACAAGTTACCAAAACTGCATTTTCGACATCCTCACATGGGTGGTTATGGGGGTAAAAGATGGCTCTTCCAAAAGAGTAATTTCATCCGTGGATGGTGAATTTTCAGAATTTTAATCTTTGACTTAGGTTCTCTTGGAGTGGATATCCAATATAGATGACTTATTAATTATTGAATGATAATTAATTTACCTCACTAAGAAGTTTAATAAATCCTCCTGTCTCTCTGTTATACAAAAATCCACATCCAGCATTGGATCCAAATAATAGATGACTTTTTGAAGCATCCAAACATAGGATTTTAACATCAATATTCCTGAAAATATGACAAAAGAAATGCATATTCTTTTTTGCGTACAAGCAATATTGAATCAAGACAAAATGGGGTAAGACCGAAAGTGAACGAGCGATGTTCGCCTGCATAGTGTTACATGGAATAGGACCTTGAACTCTTGTAGAAAGATTTCAGCCATTACCATACACCATGGTTTAAATATCATCAATAAAAATGATTAGTCTATTCTTTACCTAAATCCATGTTGTATTCTTGTAGGAATTAGAGTCAAAATATCATTGCAATCTTCATATTCTTTGAAAGATGACAAGTTAAGTGCATCTGAACCAGTGTAGCTTTCTTCAACATTTGATGAAGCTTTGCCGACTTCACTGGATGAACTATCCTCCTGGAGATCAGCATCCTGGTGGGATTCTTTCGTTTCTATATGATTAGTAACAGAGTCTGGTTCACTGGCATCAAATTCTCCGTTTTGTATTTCTGATATATCCTCGGCATTATTTTGTTCGGTGTTCTCGGAAAAATCAGCTGAACGACTTTGAGAATCAGCTGCATTCATTGCATTGTCATGAGATTTCAGATAGTAAAATCATCCTGAAGCAAAGAGTGGACTACTGGCCGTTATTTCGCTATTTAGTCTGTCAAAAAAAAAATAAATTAGGCTAGGATTTTGTAGAAACCATAATAATACGGCTTAATCATATGGCCAACAATTGTCTCTAGTCCAGTTACCAGTCCACCGTATGCAGATATATTATACTGGGTATGAGATTAATCAGCCAGTTATTAGTTTTCAGACGCATGGACATGACGTCGATAGGGAAGCCGTATCAGACCAGCGGTCAACTCAAGTGAACCACCCTAAGTTGGCATGGATTCCGATCTAACATCTAATAAATGATTATTCGCCATGAACCCATGGGATGAGATTCCAAGCTGCGAACCAACGCTGCATGTTAATCACTGAATCCTGGAATCAGATGTGCAATCACGGTATCACAAAGCACCATATTGCAGTATTACCACCGATGTACTGCCGAGCTGATGACTGGATGATAAGAAAGCTGAATGAAAGAATGGGTGAACATAATGCTGTAATGGGTTGAGAATTGAGATGAAAATGTATTTAATCAGAAAAGTTGGACAGAATAGGCCATTTCTATGACATTGACTAAAACAGCAAAATCAAATAACCTGAATACCGGAAGTGAATTCTGAAAGTAGGCTATATCAGTATATAGACAAAAATCACCTTGCAGCCTTGGCAGAAAATGCATAACTTAGTACTGCAGTAGGTCTAGTTTATATATTTATTATAATCTAACCTGTGTCCAGATGAATACGATACTGCAGTACTGCCAGACTGCTGTACCTGTGTTAAGGGTCAGAGTGTACTTCCAAAAGATTAAAGACACCAGTTTTCTAATAGTTTTAGCATCCTAGGACCTAGACAATGGGACTGACTCGTCAAATCAAAACACCGTTTTGAAGTTTAAACCGTTTTAAAGTTAATTCAGTTGTGAATCAAATGCGCCCATAATTCAGTAATTCAGAAAATTTTGGTTTAGTTCTGATAACGTAAAATCCTCGTTATACATGAACTGCACCGCTCAATACTGTAATACTAACGACAGATTTCCAAATCGGAATCTCGTGACTTCAGCTCTGCATATTGTGTGAAACAACAACTTCCTGTTTTATTGGACGCGATGTGTAGTTATGGTAGTTTTTTCGAAATTGTTGTTGTTGTTGATCTCGTGAACAAAGATTCTTTTGTTTGTTATTGTGTTATAAATTTTTTCTGGGTGTTATGGTGCCCGAATTGGAACCAATAATTTGCAATTCATTTCGGCAAACGTTATAAAATTAGAAATATGGTGTGGCAACTAATATTTAGTTATTACTTTTTTGTTTTGTTTAATGTGTAATTGGACACGAAATGAACCTAAGAGATCGTTGTGTTGTTTTTGAACGCGACGTGAACCTATGGATCGTTTTATTATTTTGTTGCACAGTAGTTGTTGTTAGTATTTACGTGAAATGATACGCCAAATGATTGCCGTCACCATGGGAGTACCCCGTCGGCTTTCCTCTACCCGGGGATAGATAGATAGTTTATTCGAAGACTCCATGATACACACAAAATATAAAGGGAGAATTCTGGAGAGCGAGCAAAACTTTTGAAAAAGTTCAAAACTTGAGAAATATCATGTGCCCGCCAACCAGAACACACACCAAAAAAAAATACAAAAAAACACAAATCTAGTTAAACAAGGTTTGGGCCAAAAATAAAGAAACAAAAGATACGCGAATGTATTGAACCTTCGGGCTGTTTTACTTTTGAAGCACCCAAGATACAGTAATACCGATTTATACAATCATACACGGAATATCTGTATAGGCCAAATTTAAATGTTTCAAAGGGATTGTTGAATCGGGTTCTTTCTGTGATTTCCGATTAGTTCAATTTAGAATCATCGAATTCTTTCCAATGCTTCCTATCTTGTCTTATTGTTGTTGTGAAAAATTCCTTATTGAATTAATTACTGAGATAATTGCTTTGAAATATCTAAGTGGTTAATTTCGCTTTAACTACTGGACCAATTGCTTTGACATTTTCATTGGTTGTAGATTGTTGTTGTGGCTAGCAGGCTATCACTTTTATTCATTTCTAGCATTTATGTTGACTCTATGAGATTCGTTTTATGCTATGAATGTTTGGGAGATGGGGAGACATATGGGCAGCACGCTATAGAGGTGAGTATATTGCTTAGTTTGACGGTTTAAATAATACTAATATAAACATTTCGTTGGTGAAGTTAGGTAGGCTACCAGGCGCATTATTATCAAAAATGTAACAGCATCTGCATAATAATTAAACGGTAAAACAGAGACGGGATACATGTTCAAGACCTTACTGGCCTAAGACACAGATGTGCGACATGTACCCCTAACAATGATAACAGCGGTTTAGGACTGCAGCGTTATACTAGGACAACAGACATGAAATTGACTATACTAGAGTTTTATTTTTGTTTGTATAGTCATTTTCATATCTGTTGTTCTAGTATAACGCTGCAGTCCTAAACTGCTGTTATCATTGTTAGGGGTACATGTCGCACATCTGTGTCTTAGGCCAGTAAGGTCTTGAACATGTATCCCGTCTCTGTTTTACTGTTTAATTATTATGCAGATACTGTTACATTTTTGAGGCAAATAAACATACATACATACAAACTCGCCCAGGGCAGCAGATAAGTTTGACAAGGGTATTGATACGTGTCACAATGTCCCTTGACACTGAAATTTGTCAAAGTAGTTGGGTAGATTCGGTTTATGACAGTTCCGACTGTTTTGTTAACGTGTCTGACTTATATAGCTTAAATAGTAAGGTTAGGAAACATTGGTAAATCCCCATGAATATGGTAAGTCTGAACGCCTGTTATAGGCTACTTTTGTAGTTTTGCGAAATTTATCGATGTGTTCTCGACGAACGCTAAGTCCATATTTCCCGTCAGCTAGGCTACTTGACAATCTGCGTTTTTCATTCCGGGAAAAACAAAGCAAGATTTGACTGAGTTACCATTCCGACGTCGAGTCGATTTTCGAGCGAATTAGAGAGGATGCTAATAGAATTACAATTACTATAATGAACGAGAGAATTACTCAATAAAATTGCCGCTTTTCATTATTTTTTGCCTTACCCAAAAATAAAAATAAACTCCGAAAACTACAGTGTACAAATCATACTGCACATTCACCACTTCTCGCGTTCATAATTATAATTAGACGAATCAATATTTGTTCACAGAAAAGAACAAACTCGGGCATATGAGAAACCTATAGCACTGTTATACAAGCCATACTCACATAGGCTACTAGCAATTATAAAGTCAAGTACAGTTATTATTAGAACATGCCTAGTTTTGATTTGCAAGTAGCAGTATAATATTTGAAAATGGGACGTTGGGACTTTAAGTTGAACTTTAAATACCCAAACGATTTTAATTGCTATGTTATACTTAAAAACAGGTGCCAATCAAAATCTGAATGTTTGTTTCAATTTGTAAAACATGGTGTATAGTTATACCTTTCAACGGTTGGTCTATTTCGTAGAAGTTCGGGCTATTCAACGGAGTCGTTGATTCTCTTGACGCAATTTCCAGGTAAGCGGATTTTTTTTTTGATAAATAAAATAGATATATTAAACCGCTGGTATAATTCTGCTATTCTTGATATTAGGTTCTATAAGTGGCAAACTTGGGGGGGTCACAGTTTGATACCCAGGCGAGATGAGGTCTTATTTAGATAAACATACAAATTTGAACGAGCGGGGCTTGGTTTCCCGAATAAGTTAGGACACTTTTTTCAATTAGGTTATAGCAACTAACCCCCAAATGTACCCCATCTCATGTTGAAATCATCAAAACAAAGTTAATTTTTCCCAAAATTCGAACAAAGACTTTCGTAGGAATTAAATTACACCAGTTTTAAGAACATAACATGTTCCATCCAGTCATTATCAAATTAAAATCTATATTCTCAAGACCTTTGGCACTGATTGAAATAATTATCTCTAAGTTCCCATCCGTACGATGTACCTAATTACCCTTATTGAGATAATAGGAGTTTCTGTTTATAACGTGAATCACGAGCTCACGTTTACAGCACTTAATTGGATTTATGATCAACGTATAAATACGACTCCGATATCTTTCGATAGGGAGATAGAAGACGATGTAAACCATTCTAAGCTAGTCTGGATAAATGTTATAAGATTTATATTCTGTGTGTTGTGGAAATATACGAATAAAAACATATAGAGATTTTTAACGCATCTTCATTCACGTGGGCGTTGAAGCTGAAGGGTGAACGGGTGACTTGCAAGTTCTGAGACAATCTACGAAATAGCAATATACGGTAACATCCCATTCATCTACCAATCACAAATGCTATAAATGGTGACCCCGACGTGATTTGAACACGCAACCTTCTGAGGTCAATATTTCTTTGTTTTCATAGACACGTTTCATTGGGTGCTAGTAATCTGTTGCATTCATGATGTAGGTCGATATCAGTATTTATGTTCCATTCACCAACGCGCAATTGCGACCTACAATATTTTAAATGGTATTTTTATTACTCCTGGTACTACTATGAATATCTCGTTAGTAGCACCCGTTTCATAGCATTCAAAAATTAGCGTGGGGCAGTTTGTGTTTTATTGTAACAAATTTGTGGGCATACGCGAAACCTTTTATATAAAACGTCTTATATATTTTATTAAATTACATTGTGAATATATTTATTTATCAAGTATTTATATTCAGATACGCTACATGATTTGTCAATTGTGTGAATCATTGTTGTACAAAGAAAGATCGACCATGAACTGAGGAAAATACATTTGCACACATGTGACGGAAGTCGTCACGAAGGGGTAAATATTACACGCTAATGTTTTGCATGTTTAACCATGTAAATATCAATAGTCCTGATATCGATGTAATGGAATTTGTATATTATCCGGTTATCAATCAAAAGAATGCCACCTCGGAAATGTCTTTGCAATGCTACTGTTGGTTTGCATTCTACATGTATTTAGCGGATGTGAGACCGATAGCGCCTTCCGGGAAAATGTGAAGGGTATGCGCTATTTTTTTTTTTTCAAATCAAAATTCTTTATAAGGACTTTTTCAAAGTTAGCAGATCAACAGTACATTCTAGAAAATTTATATATTCGACTTCCAAAGTTCACTTGCACCCACTATGGTTGCTTCAATGAGCAATATCACAAGTGTTTTTGAATGTTTGATTTTGCCACGGAACTTTAGCATTGCTATATATTTATTTTTGTTAGTTACACGGAAGAATACGCCATGATGACAACCTTGTTTTAAAATATTCTTTTCTTCAATCTCTGTGTGTATCGATAAGAGGCAGCAGGTGTGGTCATTGCAGATTACCTAGCTTGTCCATGGGGTGGGATGGGACAGCAAACATTTGTTTTTTCCGCAGGACAAGATAACGCTTGTGAAACGTAAGACAAATGGGACAATTTTAATAGGATTACGTTTTGTGTGTCAATAAAATTATCTTTATGTCCTCAGCGGCGCGGTTTAAACATGATAATGAGATAACGTGGTATCACGATATTGTGTATACCGCGTATAACGTAAGTGATAGTCATTAAAAAATTACATTCTAAAGCGCGATCACAATTTTAGCTTTTCTGGGAAACTGGTTCGGACGAATCTTGTCTGGGATGTTATCCACATACCCAGTAAATTTTTTCATTGCGGTCGGGCCCGAGATAGGGGCTATCGGCTCTTGTTATTACTCTGTTTACATCAGATTTTCATGTAACATGAAACGTAAGGAATTACCCAGATCAACTGAACTATTATAAACAGTCGATGAGCTGGAAATTGATAATTTGCTGAACGGTCAGGGTGACTCTAAAAACAGAAAACGAGTGTCAGAATGATATTGGATTGCCATAGTTAAGCAAACATTTTGTCGTTTTGCCTGTCTCTTTGGGCATACAGTCCTATCCTACACTAGACCTAAATATTCATAAATTTAATAATTTTTTATTGAATTGTATTCCGATGGATGTTTCCCCGAGAATCGACTTCTTTGTTTACTTCCTTAACATTAACTAATCAGCAAGATGCAAAAAGTGACGTGACAATAGACGTTTTAGCAGCTGCTCAGACACTTTTGTCACTCAGACAGATTTTCAGGAATGGTTGTAAACATTACCTCATTTTGACTTGCTAGTTTTTAATGGTGTTTCGGAAATTTAAGTATGGATCAAACAATTCAATATTAACTTTGTCTCTTAGAAGATTTAGTTTAATTGCAGTAAAGGATTGAAGGATAATACGGATTGCCTGAAATGAGAACTTTCATCCATACGCACAGCTGTTTTTCTAAGCCTAATGCTTTAAGGCGTTATTATCGTAACGCATTGCGGTAAAGAATGACAGCAAGCGAGCAGCAATTTAACTGCGAGTCAGCAAAATGAGATTCTGTGTAATTACCATCATGTCGTTTGTTTCGTCTCACTTAATGGTGTCTGTACAAGGTGAGTAATACAAGTATAGCATAGTGATTCGATTATGGTATTATTTACATTAAAAATATGTCACTGGAAACTGCTAATCCGGACAATGTGAGAAGAGAAGGTAGGTTACGCCCGAGACAGAGCGATCTCCCCCGAAAGAATATTTAAAGATAGTTTGTACTCGCCATGTATTCATATGATACATTGGTAATTGATGTCATATTTCCATTAACAGATAAATAAGTGTTCGCATTTTAGTTGGTTTTTAACGACCAGATTGGGTAAAATGCTGGTCATTAGCATTATAATTCCAAATTCACGTAAACAGCAAGAATGCATCAAATGATTGAACTTTTTTAAAACTAAATATTTCATTTGTTTTATCTTTTTCTTCTGTTCCTGGGTAAAAATTTTGTTATTCGAGTATTCCATATTTTCTAATTAGATGAAATTTTAATTAAAGTCTAGGAGTTAATTAACTGATTGAGTTTGATTTTTAGTTGGTACTGGCCCTTGTGTAACCAAGATAAAAAACGGACGATTTATCAGTCAAGGTCATTGCGAGAATATTGACGAAGAAGGTAGATAGTTTTTGAATATATTAAAGCCAAATAAAACTAGCAACTAAACACATTGAATAAATTAAATCAAAATGATCATATTGGGCATTTAGTATTATATGTCTAACATTTTATTTATCAAAATAATTATTTGCGAGAAGAAACAAGAGAGCGATGCTCAATTATATGGACGCGAAATTCTAAATGTCGTAGTGAGGAAATGTAATCTGTTGCACCCGTCACGATATCATAAAAAAGAAGTTTAAAATCACATTATTATCATTGTAATCTAATTGTTCTTTCTTTCAGAGATAATTGGCCAACTACGTAGAAATGTGGCAGCGAAAAATGAAAAGGGTAGGTTGTGAAACTTTCTGTACTGCTGTTTAGTGGCGAAATTTTATGTGATATGCTTACGAAAAAATTATTAATGAATATCTTGGTATGAGATAACGATGGTCTTTAAAAATTTCTTCTCAATCAAAACAAATTTCGAAACAAAACTTTTGGCGTAAAATAAGTCACTTGATAAGACATTCGGAATCGACAAGTTGGGTATAAAAATTACATTCCACTTTCTGTGTTGTCCACTTCCTTTCCTGTAAAACATTGGATTTTCTAAATATTTCGTGATCCCCTTGTGTGAAATGTGAAAATTTCAGAAAAAGTAGAAAATGTTTCATATGTTGTAATATCAGTTTGAGGTGTTTGCATTTTACAGAATCTTGTCCCATCTATCAAGACGGCAAATGTATTTGGCCTTTCAAAGCTGGCGAGGCAACAACAACTTTTGTTTCTGCTGTTTCTATTTGCGCTGAAAGCGGACGAAAACTCGCCGAGGTCCAAAGCAAAAAGCAATATGAGTTAATCGTTTCGTACACCAATCCATGGCTGTCCGAACGTAAAGATGGAGAATTTAGTATTTGGATTGGAATGGTAAATTTAATCAGGTTCCAATACTTACAAATTTGACCTATTATTGAGTGATTCGTATATCTTGCATCCCTCTTTACAAACTTTATTCGCCTGAACAAAGTTAGACATCCTAGGAAAAGCAGCTTGCGACAGAAATCACAATCAATGCTGTAAACTGCTATTCTGAACTGTCGGACTTATCTCTCAGTCATTGCATAAGGATCAACTAAAACATAAAATAGAGCAATGTACATTAGTTGGTAGCATGCTATAATCAATCATATACGCCTGATTTGAAAGCCATCCACCAAATCTTTTCAGTTAGGTAAACTAATATCAATCGTCTGATAAATAATTATCTCAAACGTTTAATTATTTTCATTCCAGGTGAACAACCAGACGTTGTCTGATGGTACTAAGCACATCTGGTGGACAGCTCCTATGCCACTGAAAGAAACAGAAAAAGTGGCAATTCACATTTCCGCAAAAGAACCCATGCACAAACTTATTTACATGAAGGAAGAAATTAAATTGTTTGGAGCTATTTGCCAGTAAATTTAATGTTTTATTAACGTTATTGCAACTTCAACTAAAACTGTAGGAAGAACTTCGTTGATCGATTTATTTCATCGACTTATTTAAATCATTTCATTTTTACCATTGCAGTTTACAATTGTAAACAATTATCATTATTTCTAATTTCTATTTGGGTTTAGAAAAATATGGAATGTATAACTACAACATTATTCAAGAATAAAAAACAAATCGAACAAGCGTATCGTTTTGAAAAATGGAATAGAAAAGCAAACAAAATCAATGCTCGAATACTTCGCTCATGGATACCGGCCTTAGCTGAGCATTAAGTTAGCTGAAATGATGGGAGGTCAAGCGTGATGCAATTAGTTGTTCTCGTAAATTATAGAAAGTGATTTCTCAATTGCGATTTCGGTGAAATTGTACATGGGTGCTAATATTCGTGGGTGCAATTGCAAGTAGAGCAAATGTACGTGAGTAGAATTGTCCACAGGTGTTAATGTTCATGGATGCATATGTCCACGGGTGCTAAAATCTATGGGTGGATATATCGGACAAGATTCTGTCAAATGCAAGTACTCTTACTACTGGCTCATTCTACTGAAGTCTTTATTCTAGCACAAACTACGAAGCGATTTAATCAGCTGCTTTGACTTCGAAGTGATAGAAACAGGGTATTATACCGTTAACTATTTCGCTGATACTCGTAGCACGGCTAGACTTTTTTTTGGCAGAAATTTCTTGGTGACGCGAGTCTCTGGCTATTTTCCATACCCCACCTGTACAGGCAACCGGAGGAAAGACGTGAGAAATTTTCGAATCAGAACGTTACGGTTTGAATATTTCCGAATCTGATTCTATTTAGTATAGATGCAATTGTTCATGCTAAAATCATCGACGCATCAAACTAGACTTTTCATGAGATCAGCTCTCCAACAAATATCGATCGATAAAATCTGTATATTTTATATCTTTACACCCCGAACGTGCATCACTGAAACGTGTAACCATGATTTACTTGTGACACCTATCACAAAAAAATCTTTTTTCTTCGCTGGCACACGCTGGAAACATTACTTAGATATGTGTCTCTCTTTCTATCTATATATAAGTGGTATTTCAATCGTTATACGACAATAGAAAGGATTTATTCATCGATATTCCAAAAAAAAATTGTAAAAAGAATTGGGGTTTGAATGTAAACTGTTTCGTCTTTTTATGATAATTTGCAAAATAAAAATTGTTTAAATATATATATATATATAACATTCGACGAAAGCAATTGTAAGAAAAACATAAGTTTTGTTCAGAATAGTTGAATGAGTAAATAAAGAAATGGGTCGTAGTGACCTATAGTAGCTTTGACTCTTTTTAAGCAAAAACACATAAATACGCCATTTTGGTTATCCATTTGGAAGGATGCTGTTGCGTCGAATAAAGATCCCAGAAAAATACCATAACCACCATAATAATGAATTGAATAGAACATGAAAAAGGAATTATCTCAATCTTTCTGAAACATAAGGCCTCTATACTTGCTGTGGTTGCTTTTTGAAAACCTTGTTAGAAGCGTAGAAGTAAATATGTGAGATTTGACAAAAAATATTTCAGTTGTTCACATCACTTTGTGTTGTGTGACATTATAAAAGTTTGTTGTAAGTTTTAATTTCAATTTAATTTTAATTTAATTTTTAATTTTAATTTTGTTTACGCCCTCGCTCCGACTACCATTGTACCGTTAAATCATAATTACCAGTCCGTTGGAACTCGGTCAAAATTCCCGTTTAGCTCAAAGTGAGCTTTTGTATCTAATCGATTCATTGTTTATTGCTATTGAGCTTTTTTACGCATATCAGTCATAATATTCAATGTGTAAATGCACGTATCCTGACTACAATAGCATAAACTGCCTCAAATCAAATGCACAATGTTGCAAAATAACAATTCAACCAAAATATTGAAATACTGAAAGAGAAAAATATAATCTGTTAAGCTCACAATATCTGGAAAAGAAATTTTGCTCATAATCGATTCATTGTGTATCATTTCCCGCATATCAACCACAATATTTAGTTAGTCAGGCAAAATCAAATACAATATTCTGCTCACAAGCAATTCAACTCCTATCTGAAACTTTGTTATTCTACCAACCAACGAATTAGTGAACTCTTTAGTGTAACATATCTTACATATGTATGATAAGAAGGATCTCGATCTATTGAGAACAAGATGTTTTTCTAATAACAATTCATAATATATATACTATACCCCACATATATATCAATAAAATTCTGGAAATAAAGTGGTAGCTGAGTTCGTCATAGAATTTCCACACATAACCGTTATGCTTACATCGTTTCCAGCAAATCGCTCTACTGATAAGCGTGCTGTTTAAATTTTTGCATCATGTAGTCCTACCTAGTAGCATTAGGTCATTGTTATACTCCATCCTATAACGATAAGTGGATCAAAATTTCCGATTACTTCATGAAATAGTTTTCAGGGAAATTTATCATTGAATGAATGGAAGCTAAAAAGATTGCTCATGAACATATACTTCCTAATAGGAAGTTGATATAATAAAATTGTATAAAATGAACGAAACAAAATATCTCAGAACGTGATTTAATACGGATTGTCGAAACCCAGAACGCTTTCCCATATATCCACAACTATTTTTCCAAGCTTGATGTTTTTACCAATCGAAAGATTACGGCCTATAGATACCCATTGATCTAACAACTCGAGTAAAATGTTTATAAAATTTCTATTTTGTTAAATAAAAATCTCTGTCGACTCAAATTGTTTTCACTGTCTCTTATACAGGTGTAGACAAAATAAATAAAATAACGACCCAGTAAAAAAATATTTTTTAATTTTTTTTCCATATTTTTTGGTCACCTATTGTTTTGATTATCTAATATTGGAAAACTCCAACAAAATCTTTTTGAATTATCACCTTTGATTTATACAGAAAGGATCGTTTTTGCTGGCGCTTTTTTGAGTGGTACATTTTAGTATGAGGAAAGGTGAAAAAAGTCCCATGACCACGCTATTCAAACATCAGATATATCATGAAATGTTACCATCGCATTGCGGCAAGGAACGACGTCAAGCGAGCAGCAAGTTACCTACAAGTCAGCAAAATGAGATTCTATGTTATTGTCATTATGTCGTTTGTTTCGTCTCACTTTATGATGTCTGTACAAGGTAAGTAATACAAGTATAGCATAGTGATTCAATTATGGTATTATTTACATTAACAATATGTCACTGGAAACTGCTAATCCTGGCAATGTGAGAAGAGAAGGTAGGTTATGCTCGAGACAGAGCGATCTCTTACGAAAGAATATTTAAAGATAGTTTGTACTCGCCATGTATTCATATGATACATTGGTAATTGTTGTTATATTTCCATTAACAGATAAAAAAGTGTTCGCATTTTAGTTGGTTTTTTTGACCAGATTGGTCGGGATGAATAGTAGTCGGGATTGGTTGAAATGCTTGTCAGATAAACATTATATTTCCAAATTCACGTAAACATTTACAAAACTAAATATTTCATTTGTTTTATCTTTTTTCTTCTGTTCCTGGGTAAAAATTTTGTCATCCGAGTATTCCATATTTTCTAATTAGATGAAATTTTAATTAATTTCTAGGAGTTAATTAACTGATTGAGTTTGATTTTTAGTTGGTTTTGGCCCTTGCGTAACCAAGATAAAGAACGGACGATTTGTCAGTCAAGGTCATTGCGAGAAAATTGACGAAGAAGGTAGATAGTTTTTTATAAAAATAAAAGTCAAATGAAGCTAGTACCCAACAACAATGATAAAATTGTATCATTGTGATCATATTTTGCATTAAGTTTTATATGTCTTTGCGAGAAGAAACAAGAGAGCGATGCTCAAATATATGGACACGAAATTCAAACTGCCAGACCCGTCACGATGCCATAAAAACGTGGAAGATAGTCATCACGATATCATAAAACAGTGTTACAATCTTTAACCACTAATAATTTCAAAGCAATTGGTCCATTAGTGAATGAGAACAGTGATTTTTTCATAGGTTAACAAGAAGCAGAATAATAACAACAACATAACGAGAATATCGGTCAGAGACCGAAGACTTATCGATCGAAAGTTAGAGGATCCCCAAAACAGAAACTGCGGTTTCGATTCGAAAAATTCTGCAAACCCGAACTGGATTGTTTTGAATAGTTTTCAGCCAATATCAAAAAAGTAGGAAACAATAGCCAACTCCCCATGTCGTCGTCGAAATACTACTCGAGGAAATACTTTTATGAAGAATTCTGCAATTCCGAACTGGATTGTTTCGATTAGTTTCCAGCCAATAGCCTATTTACCAATCCTATATTTTGTGTCAAATACAACGGCGCTAACCAGGGTTGCGACGGCTATTCAAACACAGCCTAGCGATATTTTGGTGAGGAATTCTGCAACCCCGAACCTCGCTTTGTAAAAATCCAGATCTCTCCATCACTAATTCATCCAAAATCAATAGGCTCCTGGTCCGATATGATGAATGCACATGCAAAAGTTGGAGCAGATTCAACCACGCCTTCGTGAGATATCGCGTGCATCTAACAGACAAACAGACAAATACCTATTAACATACTTACCGATCTAAAGATCGATAAGTAATTACCGATATAAAGATCGATAAGTAATAACAAAACGACTCATAGGTCCATTTCGCGTCCAGTAGGAAGAAAGTTTTAAAATCACATTGTTAGCAGTGTAATCCAATTGTTCTTTTTCATTCAGAAATAATTGGCCAACTACGTAGAAATGTGGCAGCGAGAAAAGAGGAGGGTAGGTTGTGAAACCTTTTGTACTGCGGTTTAGTGGCGAAAAATATTATGTGGATATAAAAACCCAATAATGAATATATATTTTGTATTGAATATTATTGGTCTCTAAGAAATAACTATCGAACTTCCTCTTCAAATAACTATCCAAAGAACTTTTGGTGAAAAATATGTCACTTGATTAAACATTCGGAATTTCAACTTCCATTCCGATAAAACATTAAATTTTCTAAATGTTTCGTGATCCCCTTGTGTGGAAATTTTAGGAAAAGTAGAGCATTTGTCATATGTTGTAATTCCAGTTTGAGATGTTTGCATTTTAATGATTGCATTTTACAGAATCTTGTCCAATATATCAGGACAGTAAATGTTTTTGGCCTGTCAAAGCTGGTGAAAGAACAACAAATTTTGTTTCTGCCGTTTCCATTTGCGCCAAAATCGGACGAAAACTCGCTGATATCCAAAGCAAAAAGCAATATAGTTCAATCGTCTCGTACATCAGTGAATGGTTGGCAGAAGAGAAAAAAGGATATTTGCATGTCTGGACTGGAATGAAGTACAATCTAACGGTAAGTGAATGGCAAAAGTTCATCGCATTCCAATAACAACGGGTCTTAAAATCAGGTTTGCAAGCAACAAATAGTTTTCTGAATCAACTATAGTATAACGAGGATCAACTAATACATAAAGAAGAGCAACAAGCATTAGTTCATTTCAGATAAACAACCTGACGTTGTCTGATGGTACCAAGGCCATCTGGTTGTCAGATTATCCTATTCTACCGACTGAAACAAAAGGAATAAAAGTGGCAATTAGGGTATCGAAAAAAGAACCCATGCACAAATTTGTTTACCTGGACAAGATGTACAAAGGCATGGGAGCCATTTGCCTGTAAATTTCAATGTCTGGAAAAGTTCGACTTTGACTAAAAACTGTGTCGTAAACTGTAATTTGTTTAAACTGAGATTTTCTTCAAACTTGTATAGATATATGCACACAATTTTTGTCATTGCTGTTCACAATTATTAATAATTATTATCAACACTAATTTCTGTTTAGGTTTAGAAAATGAAAAAAATATAGAGTATATAACTATAAAATTACCTGAGAAATAAAAAATAGATCAAACAAGCCTATCGTTTTGAAAGTTAGGATGAAATAGGGCGAATGAACAGTGAATAGGAAACACAATCAATGCTCGAATACACAGCGCGAGGGTCGCACATTAGTAGCGGCATTAACTGAGTATCGGAGTTAGCTGAAAAGATCGGCGGTCAAGCGTGACGCAATCAAGCCCTCTCATGCATCATAGAAAGTGATTCCGCAATTGCAACTCCGGTGAAATTGCACATGGGTGCAAATATTCGTGGGTAAAATTCAGTAGTGCAGCAAGGGGGAGTGAGTGGCCCTTGGTCGAACCCCATCTTTTGAATTTTTTTGAAAACCGAAAAAGTCGCCAATAACGCTAAAACGCAACCTTTGCTAAAATCGCCGATTGTTTTCATCATCGTGAGGTGTTATTTAGGCTGTAAACGCCTCTCTCTAAATCACAAATTTTCCACAATTTTGTGCCAGATACGATAGTTATAAAAATACTTTTTTTTTTGTACTCGTACGGAATTGTGAATCCGGTGCAAGGATGAGAACGCGACTTTTTCCCGGTGATATAAAAGATAAATTAATGTAAAGTATATTCGATCAATTTTTATCGTACTGAAATGAATTTTATTCCGTGACTCCGTGAGTTTTTACAGCAGATTTACGTTATTTTCCAAAAGTTTTATCTTTGAGAGTAATCGGAGAGGCAGATTTGCGATTGAGGGGAGTCATTGTTACAAGTACATCCCGAATTCGTCGAATTCGCAAAATAGCAAATATACGGATCAAAACAATATATAATTAACAATATAATAACACATTCCATGGGTGCTACGCGCACACCTTAGATGGAACACTGCCCATGATCCATTCTTCATGATTCACTTTCAACGTGAATTAAAGAACTAGCTGAACCGAGTCACTTCCGTATTACCAGATCAGGTATCGCAGTCTACGGTTCCCCATAAAAACCTTCCCACACTCGCGAAGCACGCAGGGTTGCCAGATCCCAGTGATAAAAAAAGCCAAATCAAGACAGAAAAAGCTAACAATTTTAACAAGTAGGCCTACAAAAGCCTCACGATTTGAAACTCCTAGCACAATAGTGAATTCGCACAGTTTACAATATGCTTATTTATAGCCACTTGATTTAGTCAAAGTGACTATAAAGTCACTTTGGATTTAGTGAACTATAGGGAGACAAAGTGCGGTCTTAGGGATAAAGACTGTTCACCCTAATATTCAAAGTTCGATTCCCACGTTATTAATTTCACGTGTTATGGAATGTGACTCCAATCTGGATTCCCTCAGACGATAATAAGGACACGATGATGATTGTCGAATTGTTGTATATTATTGAAAAGATGCACGATCCAAATTCCAAATACAGATAAAATTGTATACACTTAATTCCTAATGCAGTAAGAATACGGTCAGATCACAAGTCATATATCGAGTGAAACAAGAAAACACAATATTATAGAGCATTCTCGGCAAACCGGAAACGATACGTTATCAAATTGGTCGAAACGAGAAAGGCAATACATGGAGCGAATGCACTATTGCTGTTGCGAAACATAATGTGGCCTATTTTGTGAAATATTACATGCTATTAATATGAAAGGGTAAAATACATTATAATCCATAGTTACACAATGCACATTCGCTACAGAACCACATCGAATTTTCCACTAAAAGTTGTAGTTTTGGTTGCTATCATGATGTTTTCTACTTCAGCATGATTAAGGGTTTACGACTAAGAAGGATTATTGAATGGCAGAATTAGAACACATCTCCGACATAATACAGTCAAGCTGACATCCACATAAAAAGTTTAAAAAAATCAAAAAGCCAAAAAATGGAAATATTAAGCGGAGAGCACTATTTTTTCAATTCAATATATTATGCAATCCACCATGTATACCGCTTTAGTATGTAATAAATGTAGATATTTCTACTTAAACTTGCAAAAATCATACCTCAGAAAATTCTTCTAATATTTTACTATTGAAAATTTGTTTATTTTGAGATTGTTTTGAAGTGGTAAGTGGTTGAAGTAAACTGGTTCACATGTTTGAAGGCATCATTTTTACTAAAATTATCCAACCATGTGCCGCTTACTCATTCGCTATTTGATTAAGATCTACAGGTTTAAACCCTAAAATAGTCTAACTCAAATATAATCGCTGTAATTTGAAGATCCTATCAGCAATATGTCAGATACGTCAAACAACAACAATGCTTTTTTCAACAACACTGAAAAGCCGAAGCCCAAACCACGTCTCACCAGAAGCCTACCAGATCCTGGCCTCTCTCCAATAGGTCCTACTATACACCAACTTGATAGACCTACTGACTTATACCTAAATCTACAAGAAGCAATACAGAGGAATTTAGAGATCCAACTTCCTACTCTTATTGCTAAATGCATTGAGGATAATTTCAATGCCGGTAACATCTCCTCAGATTACTTACCTATGAGCCCTGACCTCAAAGTATGCTTGGAAGAACAAATGCATTCTTTGAAGGAAATCAAACAAGACATCACCTCAATCAGGGAGTCTCAAAGATTTCAATCAGATAAGTATGACGAGATAACTGCTAAACAGAAATTAATGGAAGACAACCTCAAAAAGTGCAATAAAAGAATTCGTGAACTCGAAGACCTAGTTTACGATCTTGAGGACGAACTGTTCTATACTACCGAAAAAGTTGAAGAACAAGAAAGGCGCTCTAGACTGGACAACCTAGAGTTCCATGGTCTTGCCCCTGTAGTTAATGAAGACAACGACAAACTGGTGATGGAGGTGGGCAAAATGATTCAGGTTGACATCAAACCCTGCGACATCTCCATTACTCATCGATCTCCAACGCATAACTCCAAAATTCATCAACCTGTTATTGCCAAATTCACAAACAGAAAGATCCGAAATAAAATTATCAAAAACCGTCACCTTATAAGATCTGCTGCGAAATCAACATCTCCATCAAACTTATCCAAAGCTTTCATTGTCGAGAACTTAACAGACAAAAATAAAAACTTATTCTACCAAGCGAAAGTCCTAAAAAATCGTTGCGGATACGCTTTTCTTTGGACATCCAATGGAAGAGTTTTGGTGAAAAAAAACAAAGAAACTAATACTTTATCAATAAATAATGAAGAAGATCTGAAGAAGATCAGATAAGTGCTAATATTTCATTAAAATCCTTTCATAATGTCTTTTGCCAAATATTGTCAGATTTGAGAAACTTTCCAATTGTTTCAACTGCAACTCTTGTATATTTCATACCCCTATAATAAATGGCCATTTATATGTAGTCATATTCAATCCTCCCATTCAATAATTTAACTAACTGTCCTCCCAACTCAAATTGGGAATCAACAAGTCTTTATTCCTGCGACGATTCAATTCAAAGTCAATACCTTGAAATAAGTCAGATCAATGAGGCTTCTTCCAGGTTCTTACCATCCGACCTCATTCTAATACATCTTAACATCAGATCACTTGCTAAATATGTTGATAACTTAATAGAATTAACTTCAAATTTTCATATTCTCCCCCATGTGATTGCTCTTAGTGAGACCCGGATCAATAATATGACCATGCCTGTTAATGTGGACATCCCAGGGTACACCTTTTATCATGTTCCCTCTCCAACTCAGGCGGGTGGTGTGGGTTTGTACATTAAAGATAATTTAGATTGCCAATTAGTCCAAGATTTTAATTTAACATTTCCTAACTGTGAGGATATATGGATCGAGCTCAAGTTCTCCCAACCCAGCTTGAATTTTCAGAGCCTCATTATTGGTGTTATCTACAACCACCCAAAAAGCAATTTACCATCTTTTACCCTAGCAATGGCTCGCCTATTCGAAATACTGGCTATGACTAGAAAAAAATTCATGATACTGGGTGATTTTAACATTAACCTACTCGACACGTATAATAATTCCATTGCCATGTATTTGGACATGCTCATGTCTTACTATGTTTTCCCAGTGATAACGAAACCCACTAGACTCACCTCAACTTCTCACACCCTTATAGATCATATCTATACGAACACCATTAACCAATGTTCTTCATCATTTATTTTGCTCAGTGACATGACTGATCACTTTCCTATAGCATGCACAATCTCGGGTGTTAATATTGGCTTAAAGACCAATACTCGCATGAAGCGCGATATGTCAAAATTTTGTATCGATTCTTTTAGGTCCGATGTTGAGTTGATGTGTAACAACTATACGGGTGCTACCTTTTGCAAAGAAAATTTCAATACCTCTTTCGATACCTTCCTTGGTCACTTGAAATGGTTAATTAACAAACATGCCCCCTTACGACCCTTATCTCGCAAAAAACACAAACTTTACTCCAAACCTTGGATCACTAAGGGAATTCGCAAGTCTATCAAACACAAAAATAACATGTACAAAAACAAGTTCTTGAGGGGTAGTCCATCCCAGCGTGATCACTTCAAAAAGTATAGAAATTTGTTGGTTCATTTGCAGAGGAAATCTAAAGAATTATTTTATCGTAATGTCCTCGAGAACAACCGAGGTGATGTTAAACGTACATGGAAAACGATCAATGACATTATTAAAATTAAGTCCAGAGATAACACCTCCGTCACAGAATTAAAGCTTGAAAATGGAACCACAGTGACAGACCCTGTCCTGGTTGCCAATGAATTTAATAAGTTTTTCTCCACAGTAGGGAAGAAACTCGCAGATAATCTCCCTGATAGCCCAGTGTCTTTTGCCGGCTTCTTAGGTACTCCATTGCGAAATTCTTTTTCTTGAGCTTACGTCACCTGCCGAGATCTTGCAGATTATATTGAACCTAAAAAAAGGGAAAGCTGTTGGGCCTGATGGTATTCCTTCCCACTTTCTTAAGTCTACTGCTGATATCATTTCGCCAGCGCTATGTAATTTTTTCAATTCGTCTTTTAGATTAGGTACTTTCCCTTCTTCACTTAAGATCGCACGAGTAGTACCAGTTTATAAGAATGGT